TATAACGGTATCAATCTAAACAAACTTGATCCACTTAACTTCTTTTTTACTTTTGTAGTCGCGTTTTCAAATATTGATGATGATTTTCACGGTCTGTTATTAATGTTTGTACATTTTATTCGTCCTCTTCGAGTCTATCATGGAAGGAAGAGTTCTCTCTTGCCATAGCTTTATGATGTTAATTAATTTTAATATATATATATATATATATATATATATATATATATATATATATATATATATAAAGCAGATGTGAGTTTACTGTTCCGTAAACTCGCAACCTGATTGGGCGGCTGTACATTTTACATTTTCGGGTCGTTTGGATGCAGTATTTGGATGAGTTAATTTGGTCGAAATAACTCAGAATGAGGTATTTCAATCAAAATAACTCATTTGGAAAAAATAAAGTAGAATGTTGTATTTTGTCTATGAGTCAATTGAAATAACTCATTGTGAGTTATTTGAAATACCTACCCACCCCCTAGTTATTTCAAATACCTCATCTCCCAACTTCTTTTTTCACTTCATCCCTTCTTTAAGTGGTGAAATACCACAATATTTGAATGTTTTATCCAAACAAGGCAATTACACCAATTACCACATTTCAAAATGAAATACCACATGAAATGCCACATAGCAAAATAATGCATCATTTGGATTCGAAATACCATAGAACCAAAAATATGCATCCAAATGACCCGAATACTCCAAATTTAATTAACTTACAACTTAGTTATTATAATGTACATTTTGGTATCTACATTTATGAGATTTTCGTACCTACATTTTTTTTGAATTTACATATCGGTCCAATGTTTAGATTTCACTTGCATTCAATCCACCAATCCTTTTGAATCAATCCATGAATGCAATCCACCATAACAAAAACTATAAATTTGGTTGGTATTATCCAAGATGTTGTATTATTCAACTGTAGGAGAAGATTCGATCATGTTATATTTGCTCATTACGTGAAATATTAAATAAAAGATAAAAAGAGAGACGACTCTAAAATATTGCAAGAGCGATTTTATAAACTTATTTAGTACATTTACAAGGTACTAAACAAACTTCTATTTACTACAGGTAAGAAAATAGGCGACATCTACATAAGCAAGTGTCAATAAATTGCTACGGTGAAAATGGTTGACTATTGTATTGACGACCAACTAAAAGTATTAGTCAAAACCTTTCCATCATCAACTTCCTCTTCGTTTTATTTTTCACTCGTCTTCCATAACCCTTTATTTATTTCTTTCTTTGCCTTCTTCGTCTAACCCCAATTAGTATACTATTTTTATATATTCTAATCACAAGTATGAATGAGTCCATACACGACTTACCAACAGTCTAGAAAATTAATAATTGAACCATGAACCACTAACTTTTTTAGCTCAATGTCGAGTGCAATAAAAAATAAATATATATGCATGGCTATTACTTATTAGAAATTCATCATTTTCCACTATGGGATTTAAAGGCGTGAAATTTTAAGCGAGTTTCAGTTTGTATTCCTTTTACTTCTTTGTAAAGTTTTTCTTTTTCACCCGGGTTAAAATTTTCAACGATTATACATGAAATGTTTGGCTAGGTATCTACACATATCAAATAATAGCTTTCATTTTTCTATAAAAAGTACATAATTATCATCTTAAATACATCACCATAAAGGAATTAAGTCTCAACTATACAAATTACAGTTCGGTACCTAAACTTAATAGATCTTTAGATTTATAACCTAAATTTATTTTTTTTGGCAGATAAGTCCTCAAAATATTGATGGAACATTACATATTAGTACCTAAATTTTTTCTATGGCATTTTGGTACCTAAACTTTTGAAGTTCTACAAATAGGTCTAATTTTTGTATGTGTAATTAAAACACCCTCGAATTAATGGGTATCCACACCCAACTCATACACATTTAGATTATGAAAGTAAATATCCATACCCTACCCAAACCCATCTACAAACTTTCAACCCCATATATACGTCACCCATACCCTACCCATTAGGGGTGGAAATTGGGGTGGGTGTGGTTACCGCCCCATATTTTGCGGGTACCCACACCCACAAATCTACAATTATGCTACCCACAACCCGCACCGCAGTGGTTAGTGGGTAACCACTACCCACTGTGGGTTTGTGCGGGTTGGATGTGGTTACCCGCAAAAATCCATCTTTGCAAGCATAGAGTTCTAGTCGCCACTAACGTATTTGTTGTTCGCAACTAGACTATAGTGATATACACTTGTGTTGTTCGTGAGATACAATTTTGTACATCGATCTTACTCAACATGGAGATTTTTTCTTTTTGAGTTTGGTATTTAACTTTTGTGTCAGAGATCTATGATTTCATATTCCCGACTAGGGGGTGAAATATGACAATTAAATATGACCTTGTATTTTTTCACACAAAGGCAAAAACATACTGATAAAAGTTACAAAAGGTGTTCACTTTTAATGAATTGATTATTCTCCGCTCTATCGATTATAGTGTTTTATAAGCTAAAAAATTCTTACATATAACTGATTAGGTGTGACTTTTATATTTGGTGGCTACTTTAATTTTTATCCTCGCACTTTTCACATACTATTATATTATAAAGTTAATTCACTAAATAAATATAATTAGTGTGGTTATTGTGGATTTTGTGGGTTAACCGCGGTGGGTAGTGGATAACCACTAACCACAAAAATAGTTATTTTACTACCCACACCCAACCCACTACCCACAATAGGTGCGGGTTGGTGCGGTTTGCGGATTATCCACAACCCGCAACCCAAACTTCCACCCCTACTACCCATAATCAATGAGTCTACTTGGGTTTAGGTAAATATCATTTATTAGCCAAAATTTTCAGAAAAATTTAAATTGGATGTTGACCACTACATATCTATTCTTAGTCAATATCATATTGTCAAGTCAATATTACTAACAAAAATACTAACAAAAAATTAATTTTAGACTAATAATACTAACAATACAACATAACGAACCACATAATACATGGCCATAAACCATCTCCGCCCGCGACAAGACGCGATATCGCCACCTATTTCTGATAATGATTCCGACTCTATTTTGTTCGGATTAGGGTGATTTGAACATACTTCTCCACAAATCCTTTCAAGTCAGCAATGTAGGTAAGATAAATAAGTCAAAGTGTTAGGACTAAGAAATAAAACATTTGAGTATGATACATTGCTATTGGTCAATACTCAATAGCTTAATTAAGAAACACATTAACATCTTAAACTCCAATATAAACCCGAGGTTGGAATCAACCACAACACATCATATAGTGAAAACTGTCATATGATTACAATAATTCGAGTTATTGGAAGAAAGTTATACGAGATCTTATACAACTCTAAAAAAACGTTATTTATATACTTTACATATAATAATACTACTATAATTAGACAACAACCACGAAATTACTCGAATTTTCTTTTTGTAATTGATTTTCCGGTTATCCTCAAGCTCAAAGTTTAGCGACCCGTAATGGACTCCAATTGCGCGTATTTACTTTTGTCAAATTTCCTATTCCAGGAGCGTTTGTAGGAATGGTGGAATAGGGAGTGTCAATTTTTTTCTCTTTCCTCTGTGGAACGGGCCAACTTACCGTACACATGCGGATTTAAACGGGTCCAGGAGTGTCAATTTTTTTCTTTATACCCTTTTATTTCTCCGTGGTGATAAAATATATATAAAAAGACAAAAATAATACTCCTTTTTATTATTAAAAATAAAAAATTTAACAATAAACTAATGCATGGTATCTAATGGGCTAACCGCTAACCATAAAACAAAAGAGTTGAATGAGCCTGACCTACATGGGATTTGGTCATCAAGTAAAACAAATGAACATCATTGGTTTGCCATTCTAAAACAAGCTATTTTCTCTGACATAATATATATTATGCTATTATTTTATATCTTAGTGGCTAAAATATAATGTATTTTAAAGTTATTCAATGGTTCAACCTCGACCAACCCAATTAGTCCAATTTTTATCATTTCAAATATATATTTTATAATTATTTGACATCATAATGATCAAATTATAGTGTATTTTATAGGGAATCGTTTGGTATTTGTTAGTAAAAAACTAAACATAAAGATCTATTTGGTTATTTTAAACATTAAAACGATCCTAAACATTTTCAGTTCCTTTTGAATTTATATGGTTTTATTCCCAAATAAGTGATGTGCAAATGGCGAATTGTAGTCGTCTCTTTTCTTTCACTATTTTTTATTTTCAAATAGAAAGTTTAAAAGTAAAGAATAATTAGAATTTGGCATGGGTCGGTCAAACAGGTTGAATTTCAAGTTTTGGCCTGTTTGTTTTATGCATTGCAAATTTATTAGCATGTTGATGGAAATGGCTTGGAAAAAAGACATATAAGTTGTACCTTTGCAGAAATGTCCTCAAATGTTTGAATGCTTTGTGAATCAGGTTCTGTGACTTTTGTGATGGTGTATGTGCTTGACGATTGCTCGATGTTGTAACTACTTAATTTGAGAGTAAATCTTTTGATTTTCCCTATGAGTTGTGATACCAGTTCTGGTGGTTGCAGCATGTTGTCGTTGTTGGCCTATAAAAGTTGTTCTGTCGTGATGCTAAATACCTTTCTTTCTTTTTTAACAAATTGTGTAGTAGTGCTATGAAACAGACCACCCATGAACGCTACGCTTATTATGGTCTGTTCTTACTTCTGGTGGTGAGAAATTGTGAATTGAGAATCATATTCGCCTACCGCACTGTGTCTGGTTGGTGGTTGCTTACTATGCTCTCTAGAGTTATGAAACAGACTACCCATGAACGTTACCCTTAAGAGTCCATAACTTTGCGAAAAACCAAATTTAGGCAATCAAAGGTGGTGGATGTTTGATGATTTTTTATGGCTTAATTGTTTGTGAATTGGATATCTGATCTTTGTATGATTAGAGGGGATGTTTGCTTAATAGAATAATCCATTTTAATTCATATTTATTTTTAACATGAACTTTAGTAACTCAAAACCTTCGAGACACATATCACCTACTGCATTGTATCATTTTGCCTGGGTGCTTGCTGTGTTGTCAAACTTCTTTGCTGCTGCTGCATTTACACTAACAGGGGAGTTAAGAACCCATGAATGTTTCCGTTTGACACAAACAAGAGGACTTACTTCTGAATCGTGCACTAAAGATGATTGGAGGAAACATCTCTGTTGCAGTTGATACACTGGAGACCAGAACAAAAGCAACGTATAACATCAAAACCAACCATCTGAACTATTAGCATTGTTGCTTTACTCTTTTTTCGTGGTTGAGTATCCTTCAAAAAATTTAGTTTGATTTTAGAAAATTTTGCTTCTACAGTCCTGTCTTGCCACCAACGCGTTCAATAGATGGAGATGGCAGAGGCGAAGGCTATTTTTGTGTTGTTGTTGCTGGTTTAGGGATCGGTTTGTGAAGAAGAGGGAGAAGAGAGGGGGAAAGGGAAATGCATGAGAGGGGGATAACTCTTTTCTCCGACAAAAATGGAGTGAAGAAAGGAATTATGATCAGTAAGGATATGGTTATCTTACATAACTGTGTCTATTCTGTTTGAATTGAGCTTGGGAGGTAGTGATAAGGACGAGCTGCAACCAATTCATAGTGATAAGAGTGCTATGAACTGTGATCATGTATTATTTCAAGTTAGAAGGTAGTTTCATTATAATGATTATTTAATTTGACAAGTTGTTTCGTCCATGATTTTTGGTAGTTTCAGTGCCATTCTAGCCATTGTTTAGTCTGTAATTTTTGAGAATTGATGTGCGAGTAATGACTTTCACTTAGCTTCAACTATTATGTGTGTATTTATTGGCATGTGATAGAATTCTCTTTTCCTTTTCTTTGATATCAGTTTCATACTCTAATTGTATCATTTGTACATAGGAAAATCATGCTCGAGATGACAACTCGCCGATATGGCTGGTGCAAGGAATGAAGCCATCATTAAAATTCAGACCGACAACGGGGAGGGATGCCTAGGACTAATTCAACGATGATTGATGATGGTATGATAAAAACTGCAGTCTGCATCAGCACCAATTTCTAGGACTAAGTAAAGTTATTCAACCCAGAACTCTGCTTAGCGCTAAAAATTGCCCTCACCCAACATTGATCCTGTTTGACCCACTTCTGAAGAGTCAAGATATATTACTAATTCTCTCTGTTCGTATTTTCTTATTGACTCTTTCTGACCCTTTAGGTTGGGGCGGGTCGGGAAGAATCAGATTAGTGGGTCGGTCCTAATCAAGTGGAATCACAATCCCTTCACTCTCACTTGCTTTCTCTCCCATTCCACAAGTGGGTAACATACAGTAATCCGGCCAACGGGCCGGGTAATAAGCTAGTACATTGCTATTGGTCAATACTCAATAGCTTAATTAAGAAACACATTAACATCTTAAACTCCAATATAAACCCGAGGTTGGAATCAACCACAACACATCATATAGTGAAAACTGTCATATGATTACAATAATTCGAGTTATTGGAAGAAAGTTATACGAGATCTTATACAACTCTAAAAAAACGTTATTTATATACTTTACATATAATAATACTACTATAATTAGACAACAACCACGAAATTACTCGAATTTTCTTTTTGTAATTGATTTTCCGGTTATCCTCAAGCTCAAAGTTTAGCGACCCGTAATGGACTCCAATTGCGCGTATTTACTTTTGTCAAAACTGACTTCCGGAGAACGTCTGGCCGAAACCCCAACTCGCCGGAACGACGTTATGCGAAACCAGCGACCGCCCGTCGCCGATGGTGACTTTGAACGACAACTCCTGCCCGAGAAGAACGGTGTTGGCCTGCCAATTCTGGCCCCAATTCCTCGTCATCGGAATCCACCCGCCCGTCGCCCCCTTCACCGCCGTCGACACCACGTCACCGCTACCGCCGACGTTACTCACCAGGATCAAATTGAAGGACCCGCTCCCGGTGATCGTGAACCTCATCCCTCCCTTTCTTTTGCACGCCACCCGCCTGTACTTCACCGGCACGATCCCGGCCTTGTACTGCGCGATGTGGAGAAAAATCGGCTGCGAGAGGTCGAAATGCTCCAGCGGAGGGTTGCACCAGCCGCCGTTGTCATTCGGCTCGTCGAAGTTTGGCGGGCAAAGGTTCGTCACCGTGATTGTGATCGCGCCGCGGATGCACCACTGGGCGTCTTCCACGCAGGTGATCTCGTAGCAGGAGCCGCACGCTCTGCCATTGTTGAACAGAGCTGTGCTTAGTGCCGCCGTCTTCACGCCGTAGCCTTGGCTGTAAAGGTTTCCGTAGCCGCAAGCTCCCCCTGGGGAAAAAGAGGTAAAGGTGGAGAAAAATTGATCAGTGGAATCCCAGAATTGGGGATTTTTTGGAAACTAGGGTTTTGAATTGAGATGGCAATTGAACTCGGGAATCAGGGATTCTATTCAATTTGGTTACCCATTGTGCCAGAGGCATCGCCGCCTCCGTAGAAAGTGGCGTGAGCGTGAACCCAGTTCCCTTCCACGCCCTGGCTCTTCTGGTGGTGCTTCTTATAAAGCAGAGCTTTTTTCAAGTGGGCTTTATGGAGCAGCTCCTTCTTTAATTGATGCGAAGATTTCTTTCCATGGCCAAGGGTTTGGTTCAAGTTGGACAGGGCAAGGAGAGCTAGGATTATAGCAATTCCAAGGTAAAGCTTCATCTTGCGACTATGCTCTGTTTTTTCTTTCAGGTTACAGGAAACAGGGAGAGTTGGAGAGCTAGGACTGGGATTGCCTGGAGAAAATGGGGTAGTGGGAGTGTGTATAAATACCAAACAGATAGTATCTCCATCGGCATGTTCAGCCAAAGAAAAGGATTTTGCTTAACTAGGACTGCGCTAGAAAAATCAGGGGAACTCAGGGGGTTTGAAAGTTGTTCTGCCATTTTTTGTGACCGTGGAAGTGGAGAAGGAAGAAATGTCCCGAAAGCTGTTAAATTTGGGGTTTGGTTTCATCACCAAATTGGGAAGAGGGAGAGATGTGGGTTAGCTACCAACCTGCAGAAGGGAAGAAGACAAGCGAAGAGAGGAAAAGGCGGGAGCTAATGGGCTGTCTCATGAATCTCTTTTAAAAAACAGAGACTGTTGTCACTTTCCCGGCCTCCGGCCAAGTGGAGAATTTGTTTTTTCTCTTGGGGAGAGTCCGTGTGAAGTCGGGAGTCTACTGTTAAAATTTTGGTGACTTCCGACTTTAAATTGAATCATGTGTTGGACTCACGTACTTCAAAAACGGATGTAGTAGCAGAAGAACCTCCTAACCTTGGGCTCTCTTTTTGGTTTTAGGAGCTGTTGTGCGTGACTCAACTCGGCTTTCGATTCGACAAGACAACGAAGTCGAATGTGTTAAACGACTGTAATGGAGTCAATCAAGTTAATATAGAGTTGATGGGGTCTAATAAGATGAAATTCGAAATGACGGATGCTTATTTCTAACATATTTGAATGAAACTGACACTTATTTTATTTGGAGGAGGTATCAATTATGTAGAGGGAGAGACAGTATTTCAATATCCATATTTTGTGGCAATGCTTTAATGATGTGTTTCTACTTTCTAATTTCTTTGTTTTGTAGGATTCAACGGCTATTGGGGGACTTCAGGTTGGCACACATCAAATGATAAAAAGCTAAGTTCAAGAAAGTGCTAGGTGCTAGGTGAGCGTTGGGCTGGTGTCTAGATAGTTTAAGTGTTCTAAGGGCTGGCTATAGTGAATTAGTGATGGCAATTTCAACCCGCCCTGCGGGTATTACCCGACCCGCGATGGGGAGGGTATTACCCGACCCGCAGTAGCGTGGGGCGGGGCATGGGTATCTACTTCCGACCCGCCCTGCCCCGCCCCGCTCTAGACTCATTTTATCTCAATTTCTTACAATATATATATATATATGGTGACTACTTCGGTGCACCCACAAAAATGAGTGCGTTCAATGCACCCAACTCAAAAACTAGTCTTAAGGTGTCGGATTTTGAATTTTAATTTGTAGAATTAGTGTAATATGATGATATAACATATGATAACAACTAATTAGCGGATTACCCTAAGCTATAGACCTCCAATTTTGAGTTATATCCCTAAATCCCAAATTATAAACCCTAACCCTAACCCCAAATCTCGAAACTATAAATCCTTCAAATTAAAGTAAATCTTTAATGGTTTTTGTGCAAATTCATGTGCGTTATTGTTCATCACATCATAAGTGATGATTGACATCATTTTGACATAAATCGCATGTTTAAAATAACGATTATGAAGCGAGTGCACTGAATGCACCCAAAAAAGTGAGTGCACTGAAGACGCCACCATATATATATATATATATATATATATATATATATATATATATATTTCTCCTATTTTGACTTTTCTTCAACTAGTTAGAGTCGATCTTTCAACTTGTTAGGCTCAATTATCCATTCTATTATCAATATTTTTCATTCTTAAAGTGTTTTTCCATACCTTTTATTTTAAAAAGTAAAATTTACTTGTATTTTTTTTGAACAACATGTAAGAGTGGGTCGACCCGCCCCTACCCGTAGTAGCGTAGGGCGGGGCATGAGAATTGAGATACCCGCCCCGCCCCGCCCCATTGCCATCAATGGCTGGCTATTTGGTTCAGACTGTTTGGTTTTACCCAAAACCGGACCGTATAACCCGGACTGGGACCAGATAGCAAACAATCCAATCTCATATTCGGGCTTAGAATTCAGGTAAAAAACCAGGATAAAGACCGAATAACAGGCCCCCAACACCTATAATCAAGATCAAATTGGGACCGGACCAGGTTAAGACCGGATCGGATCAAAACCGGACTATATCCAATCCAATCTGTGGTCCTTATATTCCCGAAAAGACCGGACTGGAACCAGATCAATTTGGTCCAATTTAACCGGACCGAACCGTATAGCCTAGGTGCCTAGATGTTCGTAACAAGAATATACATCAATCTCATAAATTCACCAATTCATAGACGTAGAAAGTAAATCACTCAACAACAATCAAAAAGTACATGAAATTTCATTCTTCATCATCCAAATACGACCATCCAGAAAAATTAAACCAATATCACCATTATTAAAACAAAATACGTCCGTCCAGCAACCATTGTCTCGTAGAACGATAAATATGTTATAGTTAAGAGATCAACTATAATTTTCTTGCACACACCTTCGAGCTCCAAAAAAAGGGGAACAAAATCAAATTCTTCCACACAAGTAATATAGTGATTATCAATGTCAATACCTAACCAAGTTCCAATCTATGTAAAAATACTAAAATTATATATTCAAGGTTATTTCCCATTACACGTGGGTGTGGCTAATTGATCAAACTAAGGTGCCATAACATTATAGAAATTGCAGCGAGTTTCATTACATGTGGGTGTGGCCATTGATCAGAGGTGCCATTAAATTAAAAAATTGCAGCGAGTTTGAGGGAGTAATATTGTCTATAAGAAAAAAGACAATATGATTGTTGCCAAGCGCCATTTTCACTTATTTGTTTGTATTTTTTCAAAATAAAATTTATGGTTAAAAAATTGCTATAAAATGTTTCAAAGCTTCCCTTTATACTTGGCTTTTGTACTTCCGCTTTTACTAATCATTTCCCTTTTACATAGAAAATATATTATTATCCTTTCGTGGTCATCCGATAAAAAAGATGGATGTTAGATACATTTGTCTCGCCTAGGCGCGCAATCCTTGCAAGCTCATATTTGTGGTCGACCTTAGTTGCACAATTCAGGGTTATGCACCAGAGTTCCCTTCAAATTCCTTGCTTCTCTAATTTTTGTGGTGCAGCAATCCAAATACCACTGCAACGCGAACCACATTACAACAAAACACTCTTTTTCTTTCACCTCCTTTGGACAGAAGCATGGGGGGGCCAAAGGAGTTTCTTTCTCTTTCCTTCTGATCTTACAATCGTAATAATAGTTAAGATACCATCCTACCTAGCAGGCTATACAGGACCCGATTAAAAAACACACAATCCAAATTGCCTGCTTCATCAACTCTTCTTCCTCCATCGGTGACTGAGATATACTATTACAAGGAGAAACATACAATTCACACATTACACGATATGAACTTAGATGTAGAAAGATACCATCATATAGAAAACACACAAAAGAAACTGTACACAAGGGTGAGGAAGGGGTCAAAAGCTTCATCCCCCTTGATTGCCTTGCATCATCATCATCTCCCTGATGGCACCAGAGTTTTCTCCTCCGACTCTTTGGGAGATCGGGTGATTGCTACCGGAACCAGGTGAGGTGAACTTGGCCGACTCGAGGGAGATGAAGGTGAGATAACAGGAACTTCCTTTTCCTGTTCAAGGGGAACAGGCTTTGTATAAACCTTCTTCGGTGTGTATGTGAAGTTGAGATCTCTATTAGCAGCTAGAGCAACCAACTCTTTTTCTTCCAACCCTTTCACTGGACTGAGGCTGCACCTGTCAGGACTGTGCTTTGCCAATGCATCTCTGAATTTCTTGATCTGCAAGGGAACCAGACATTCATGACTACTGCCTAGGATGATAAGCACAAAAGTCAATTCCTAGAGGAGTTCAAATAATGGTGAATTCCTACAAGACAAAGAAATGGGGAACAGAACTAACTGTGGCATTGGTGCAGCTAAAGCTGCATAGCCGACCCTGAGCTCCACGGTAGAAGCGGAAGAAAGGTAGAACATGGACGTTGAGACTACAACACATAGATTTATGATCCTCGTAATTCACATGAAGAAACTGTACATCTGGGTTCATCTCTGCTATTTGACAAATCTGCAAACACACCATCCCAGATTTCCATCCCTTAGTTCTAAAACAACACCAACTAATTTATATTCCTCCGCCAAAGTTAAAATACACAACACCCCACAGCAAGAAAAATTGTCTACAAGATGCAGCATGTGTTACTACCTTGGGATGGAGAGCCTTGCAGCCACCACAGCCAGGGGAGAAGAAATCAACAACAACGAGTTTGTCTCCAGCATTCATTAGAGAGTCTACAAGGTCTTGAGCCGAAGTGATCTCCTTCATATTGGATTGCAACCCCTTCTCCCACCATCTTTGCATGTTCCCAATTCGACCAGTCTGCCATTTTCCCACAAAGATAGAGGAGACAAAAAAAAAAAAAAAACTAATAAGCAAACTGCCAAACAATCCTTTCAAATAAGAGGAAACATTTAACCCTGCAATTAACAAGAAAACCCCACAAATGATCTGTGTCAGATTTTAACTTTCAATTCTTGCTCATGAAACCAGCTTCTAATTATTTGGGGTTCCTACTTCTGCCCCTCCCCAAACTTGATTATTGAGATGCGGTTGTAAGTAAATAATCTAGTAATTAAATTACCAAGACCAAATAAGCAGAAGGGGGGGAGTAAGTAAAAAAAAGAGAGCTTTGACCAATCCTTACCTGAGCCCTAATCGAAGCTCGACGAAGCTGTCCCCTTCTGGCGCCTCTGGCTTCGTTCCCGTGAGCAAAGAGCTTCTTCCCATGAAACCCACTGCTAACAACACCACCACACTGCGCTGCCTGTGATCTAAAGGCATGAGTTTTCTCTTTCAAAGGAAAGCCATTAACCCTGCTCCGACTCTTCCCAACGACACAGATCCGGCCGTAGCGGTGGCTGTCATAACTGTTTGTCGACGAAGACGGAAAAGGTGCAGAACACAAAGGAGGCCAGGACGAAGCGATCAGATGCGACTTGCTCAAAACATCCGCCATAACTATTCTCTTTACGACCCACAAGAAAGAAAACAGAGGATGACTCAATGTTTGAGCCTTTAACAAATGATTCAAAAAATCTTCCACAATAAGCGAAGCGAGCAATGAGAACAAAGAAGCAAGCGCGGAGTGGGATTTGCTTGTCTTGACAAAAAGGAGATCGATTGATCCCCCTTTTTACTTCAGCTCTTGAGGAATTGAATATAATTTTGGATTTTTTTTTAAATTTTAAATTTTTGAACTTCACACACAGACCAGAAGAAAAGAAAAGTGATGAACTTTATTTTTTTGGTTTTGTTTGGCGTTTGGCCCCCCCTCGCCTTTCTGCTTTGACGCTTCTGTGAAGAGAAGAAAAAGAGGGGAAAGGTCTTTGTGGACCATCAGATTAGGATGAGGGACGTGGCCGAGCAGAGGAAATCGGACGGCTTTTAATTTTTTTTTAAATCTTTTTAACGGAAAAACGGAAACAGCGGGGGTATTTGGATAATGTTCAGTAATTTCCTTTTTCCCTTTTAGCTGGTTTTTATTGTTCGCTGGTTAGTCACGTGGTGGCGGAGGAAGCGGCGAGACGTGTCCAGCGTTTCGACCCGGTTTTATCTATGGTGCTTAGGATATTCTTGTGGATAATGATAAAACAAAATATGGGGAAGAGGGTTTGGTTCGTCGAAAAGAAAAAATTTCGAATAGTAACTTTCTAAAAGTTTTAAAATTCGAACAAAAAACAAATTGCTATAAAAATTACTTTTAAAATTTATAAAAGATAGTTTTAAAAAGTGATTTGGGTTTGTTGGTGGAAGCTGAAAATTCCTTATTTGATTACCAACATATAGACCAATAGTGACTGATGATTGGTAGTTAACCTCATACTAACTGATTAAGGTTGGTTAATCACCCAAAATAGATAAAATGTCACACACACGACTCCCCCTTCCCTCGACCACTCGCACTCATTGGTTACGCCCTATATCCAATCTCCCTCTCCATTGCGCTCATCCCTCTCGACATCGATTATAATCAGTTTCCAAATCCCTAAACCCAGCAGTCGCCCCGCCCCAATGACGACATTTTCTCCAACGGCTTCCCTTCTGTCAATCTGCCGCACTAGCTCTCTTTCTCTACCTCCAGAGCTAAACACCTCGACCATGTCCTTCATCGCATATTCCCTTTGGTCTACTTGTTGTCTCACCTCATACAAAGACAAACAGGATGGGCAACGAGGTTGTGCCACGAACCGTGAGCCACTAGTTGTGTTAGTGGTGAGCGAGAGAAAGGAAGCAAAAGGATGGTGGACGAATGATGGTCTACCTCCAAAGCTAGACATTTCCACCATGTCTTTCCTCTTACATTCTCTCTACCTCTTGTGATGGTGGTTCTCACATTGTGTTGTATTTAGAGACTAGTGTTTGGAGTTTACTTTTGATTTTTGTGTGTTTGTGAATTTGTAGATAGGAAGATGATATTTGTGAAAATGTAAACTTGTAGTATTATTTATTCTTTATCTGCAATTTCAATTTAATGTGTCATAACTTTGAAGGATTATGCATTTATGATTGATGATAGATTTTAACCATTTATGATATTTTCTCTGATTTTGTTGGTGGGTAGGCATTTAACCAATAAAATAACCGCTAACTGCATTATCTATTTATTTTTAATCGGAAAGTCTTGAAAAGTCGGTTAACTGTAGTGTTTTTTAGGCAGCGGATAGTCGTTAACCAACCCGACTATAATCCTAGTTGGGCAGGTGGAATTCTCTTGCTTTTTTATTTTCCTCTATGTTCGAGGACTTAGCTATTTCCAAAAAAAAAAAGAGGATAAAACACGTGACTAAGAGGATAATTGTAACATCCTAGCCTGACTAAGCACTAAATTTATCAAAATACCTTTGATAATAAATGAACTTTAAATGCTTGAAGGAAGTGAAAGCGTAAAATGAAACTAAAACATGAAAATTGAAAACGTCAATGTAACTCATGGTTGTCATGCCAGTGGTACGCCGGTCGGTTGAACCAGGTCCAACCGGTACCGGTCATGAAACCGGTTGGAATACCACCGACACAACCCTCCAGTCAATACCGGTCAAAGCCGGTCAAAATCGGGAATTCCGGTGGTTCAACCGATATGGGAGATGTCGGCCAAAAGCCTAAAACGATGGCGTTTTTGTAAAAAAAAATTTGAATTTTAGGGTTTCACTTCGCTCAGCCGAGCTCCAAATCGCGACACATCCCTCCCACTCTTCTCCACTTCGCCGCCCAGACGCCCACCGCCACCAGTCTCGGCCTCCTGCTTGTGCCGCGTTGAAGCTCCTTCCGGCGCGGCCTCCTTCTGGCGTGGCCTCCTTCCGGCGCGTCTCGATTCGACAGCAGCCCAAGCAACAAAATCCTCCGACGAGGTCGCTCGATTCGACAGCAGCCCACCGTCGCGTTCATCTTCCCCTCAGCGCCAATGCAGTCAAAAGCGCGATTCTACCTAGAAGCGGAAAAGGGGTAAAATCGTAAAGCGTGGTATCAAAGCGTAAAAGCGTAAGTTTTTGTCGCATACTGAAAAATAATTAAAAATCTGTTAAATAGGACATATACTATATAAAATATGAATGCATAGAATTTAGATAAGTTAATAAATACATGCAATTCATGCTTAAAGTAGAGCAACTTATAGCATCTTAATAATAAGTTCGTAAACATAAATTTTAACAATAAGCCACTTTTCCTTCTATGCTAATGAATTTGGGAAAAGTCTAGCAGGTGAATTAGATTACGCTATTGAAGTTGAGAATGCATCCAAGTATCTTATATGCATATTCTAATCTCAAATGTATCATATTGTTAGTGATTTACTTTTAAAATATAATTTTTATAATTAATTTCATGAAAAGAATACTCATTTAGTGAACTAAAAGCGTAAAAACGTAAAGCGTTTTGGTAAACTAGAAGCGTAAAACCATAAGTTTTTAAGCTTTAAAGCGCAATTTAGTCCGATTTTATACACTTAAGTTTTTAGATGGAAACGAAAGCGTTTTGGTGACCTAAAAGCGTAAAATCGTAAGTTTTTAAGTTTTAAAGCGCGATTTTGACTGCATTGCTCAGCGCTACTTCTTCAGTCGACAACCCTTCTTCTTCCCCTCATCTTCCCCTCACCGTCGCGTTCATCTTCCCCAGCAGAAAAAACGGCGAGGCAGGAAATGCGACAACCCTTCTTCTTCCTGTGCGCGACGATCGAGTGAAACCCAACAGTCCACCTTCTTCCTCAATTCACCTCCAGCCCTCGCCTCAGGTAACGACTCTGTTCTTAAATCTCCAATTTGTTGTTCAATTTTACAAACAAATTATAAACAAAAGGTGTAGAAACTTCACCCTAAAACACGTTGTATATAGTCAACCATCAGATCAATTTTGTAAAGTCCATGTTCAATTTTTCAGATCAAAGCAGATGGACTCCGACAATGCATCAAGTCAACCATCTGTGGCAAGTAGTAATGTTGGTTCTTCTTCGACAGTTCGTTCAAAAGAAGATCCTACTTGGGAGTATGCCGGAAAAATCAGAACTGAAGATGGGAAGTTGGGGAACAAGTGCAAATTGTGTGCTCGTATTATAAAAGGTGGAGGAATTACGAAAGTGAAGCAACATTTAGCCGTAGAAAGGGGTCAAGTTGGTCCTTGTCCTCAAGTTAGCCATGATATTCGTGAGATGTTCAAGGCTTTACTTAAGACGACTACTAAATCAACGCCTATTGCAAGGGTTAATGCTGATGATTCTGAGGAGCAAGGTAGTATAGGTGTAGTACAAGGGAAAAGCGTTGCAACAACTCCTAATTTCTTTGATCCAAGAACAAGCCCAGGAGCTCAAATCGGCATAACCGGCATGAAACTAGTTCTACCACGGTAGAACCATTCCACTTGTAAAACCGGCGTACCAGCATAAACCGGTTTGACAACCTTGATGTAACTTAAGACATTTCACTTAATAGAAATCATCCGTAAAACCACATCAAGTTTCAGTTTTCAACAATTATTTACAAAAACCCTTAAGTGAAAGAACTTGAAACAAACAAGTCCATAAATGGCATCCTAGATTGTCGACTGATGAAAACTTTAATTTATAGTGTTTATCACTCTCACTTTTTTATTTCTTATCTGAATCATAACTATTTGATCAATGAGCCTTTAATTGACCTAGGATGTGCTTGTGTACTCTTTTATGCCTTCTTGGTATATTTTTTTGTGCTTTCAAGGTACAAAGCTACTATCACCAAAAAAAAAAAAAAAGTGTACAAAGCTACTAAGGACACTTGGATCAAGTATTGAAGAACTCTGGAGGACCAAAGGAGCTATAAAGAGAAGAAAAAGGGAGCTTTGATGATAAAGACGAGTTCCAATGATAGAGAAGTCTACTAGAAACCACTATGTGAGCGCAAGACAAGCCCAATAGAGGAAAACTCAGACCAAGCCGAAGAAGAAAATAGTGGCAGCCCAACATCCGGTCCAACCGCTGCGGGAGGAGACTTGGTCAAGACACGTCAAATGATGAGAAGAGTTTTCCATAGACCAAGGAGCCCAGCCCACGAAGAAAAACAATGACAAGTCCAACCACCGCTCATGCTCTAAGCTTCTAGAAGCCTTCTTCAAGAAGTTACTTAGTCCACAAGGAGTACAAAACCCATGCAGCTTCTCGGTAAATCCTGCACGACCACAAAGGTCACCATGCACGGCCGTGCACTTTCTCGTCCTGGTCGTGCAACTTGTCTGATCTCCCTCGCTCGTCCCGAATTCGCCCAATCGACCCGAAACTCATGCTCAAACTTTCATTTACGAATTAGGACCTGAAATGTCATAAACGTTGCCACGACTGGTCCCGCTTACAGTCTCTTCGCCGACTGGTCCATTTTCCAGTCCTGCTGCAATCTATTTTCTTAGTAACATCATTCCCCTTATCTTTCCCTCTTCTCCATTGAGGCCAATGTCGATCTTAAGTGTGTGTGTGTGTGGGGGGGGGGGGGTGTTTATATTTGACTGCTTAGATGTGTTTGTGTGCTTGAAGCCTAGTCCACTGTCCAAATTTCAATTTGAGGGCTCCAAGTACGTGTTTCTCGCAATCACCTGCTCAATATGCTTTGAATTTATAGTATTTATAGTATCATGCAACCTAGGGAGGTAGTTGTAGCACTACAGAGGATGTTGAAGTATAAGATCTGTCCTATATTTCTCTTTGTTATGCCGGTTGATTGTGTGAACTAGAGGCTTTAAGACATTTGATTCATGTGGTATCGATGAATCCTCTTGTATTGTGGTGTGGACTCATGTATCGTAAAAGTGTGCTCAGGTGAGTGTAATCAGAATCATTTGGTCCTCCATGTCGGAAAGTTTGAAACATGGGGTAAGCCCAATGTGTGGCACCGTTCATTGCAGAGAATCAGGTTTTGGAAGAGATTCTAGTGATCCTTAGTGGAGTAGGCCTACAAGGTGAAGCTAAACCGTCTCTTGTACAAGTAAAATTTTCATGCGTCGAATGGTTTGCCTAGTCAAGGATGTGTTTTTAAGGGCATGGATAGAGCTTCCGACCCCCCTAATTTCAGTGACGCTTCACACGATTTGAGGATAAGGAGTTAAAAAGTACTCTGGCGAGCGATAGGTGTACAAAAATTGCTCCTGCCCAACCAATAAGGGTCGACTGCGCATGGAAACCGCAATTTGGAATCCCGACAAAGTGTGAAAGAAAAAAAAAAGATAAAAAGGAAACCATAAGGAAAAGGGGTTCCAACCAATGAAGTGGGGGAAAACACCTGAGACGAAGAGTCCTTTGTTGTTGTATTGTGTGAGTCTCTTTGTCCATGAATTGTATACCCTAGGTCCACTACTTCGCATGATCCTGCCTTGAGTTGCATTGAGAGAAATATGGCATGTCTTAGAAAACTGGTTGACCTCGTAAGTTGCTAAATGACTTAGGAAGTCCTCTACTAACGATCGGGGTTGCACGTTGTTGTAAAGGTCTGGAGAGTTGTATTGGTTTGAGTCAGGTTTGCTTGGGGACAAGAAAACGGTTAAGTGTATGACAATTTGATAACTCGATATTTACATATGTTTTGCCCACCATGCTAACACGATTTGAGGCTAAATTCTTGTCTTTTAAGCCGATTTCACACTAAGTTGTTCTTGTTTGTGACATTTCGGGTCCTAGTACGTGAATGAAGGTTTGGGAACGAGTTCGAGGTCGATTGGACGAAGTTAGGATGTTTGCCGAGAAGCTGAGGAATTCGTACGACCTGTATGTGTTTCTACACGGCCGTGCGTTGTGGCCGTGCAACTGGTATCACACAACCATGGGTCGCACTAGCCATGAGAGGGCGCTCCCACCCCGTCCAGGATTTCCAGAACTTCTGCACGGGCTGGGCTCAATTCTACACGGTCTTGTGATGGCCGTGTGATTCCCTTTGACCAATAAGTGGAACACGACATTTTGTAGTTACACGGGCAAACACGGAATTCTGCACGGCCTTGCGTTGGCCGTGAAATCGAGCAGAGCTGGGTTTTAACTCAATTTCGGGTCTTTGGAAGAGGATTCGACTTTTTGGAGCAAAAACAGAGTTTTAGAGAGAGAAAGGACGAAGAACAAACCCTAGGAGCTATTTGGAGTGGATTTCTCACCATTGAAGCCCAAATTGCGTCTCTAGGAGTGAAGATTGACATCCCATAGCAGATTATTTCCATCTTTATGAGTATGATTGCGTTTATTTATGTTTCCATTTCTCTTTATGGAGTAAATCTTTCTCTCACTTGTGTATGAAGAACCTTAGTTCCATGTGTTAGGAATCTTGATTGTAATGACTTTTGGGATGTCATTCTTGATGATTTTAATCATTGAGGCATGTTTATTGAGTCAATTGAATCCTGATCAATTTCTCTTGACTTCTGCTTTAACTTGTGATAGATAGAATCTGATTAGGTTATAAGAGCTTCTTCAATTGATAGTAGTGAATTGATTGACGTTGTACGGGAATTCGTTCCAAGTAGAGGGGGTCTGTGTGAATTGCCTTAGCCGTCTATCCTGGTGAAGGCTAGTTGTCTGCCGGGTATTCTGTCTAAGATGGCTTGGTTAGTTTAAGAGATTCCAAGTTATTTTCGGATCTTCCGCAATCTAATCAACAGTAAAAAAACCAAAAAGAATTGCAACTTGAACCTAACTGGGGAGCTAGGGCGACTCTTCTCTTGCTTTAGAAAACCGAACAACGTACTGCTTTCTTTCTACTTTAGTTTGAATTCACCTACAGTCAATCTTTCCCGCTAGATAATAGATGATCACGAAGTAGGCAGTACATTTAGGCCCCAGGTTGACTTTTATTACTTGTCCCACTATATAGCATTTCCATTCTACAATTACACTTGGTCGTAGTTTGGTGTTGTGTCTTAGCGAGTTAGTTTGTCCTGAGACTCATATGAGTCAATATCAACACATACACTCAGGGATTCAAGTAATTCATGAATTTCTGGTGTTTCTTTTTCCATAAGTCCCAGATTTTCTTGGTTAATGAGCGCCATATATCTCCTATGCTCTTTTTTTCGACTTAGAGTCATCTAAATTATCTTCGCTACAACTCTAAGTCGCAGCCATTGCCCTTTCTCTATTTAGTTTTATGTCGGGATAATCTACTATGCAATGTCCTGGTCTGCCGCACTTAAAACATGTAAAAAACCTTGACATTCACAACCCCTTTATCCGATTCATTCCTTCCAATATTCATATGAGAGTTGTCTATTTTTCTATTATATTTCTTGTCGTTTTTCGATATGTTAGGATAAGTTTTTGGTTTCTTTTGAATCTTAGATAATCTAATTGTTTGGTTAGTAGCACAATCCGCCCTTCTATCCCTTCTTCACTATATAAAATATGACATTATAGAGCTAAATCATTCTTCTTCAGAGGTTGCTTATTATCCTCAATCCTAAAGACATATTTGTGAGCTGTAAATGAACCTACTAGCTCACTTAATTCAACTTTAGATAGATACTTTGATTCTTCTATAGCAATTACCTTAGGTCTCCATCTAACTCCAAGTTGAGTTCCTATTGGTGGAACTAAAACCATTAACAATAATAGAGCAATATAACCCTTTCTCTCTTCCTCAGAAGCGGTCACGCTAAAGAGAGAAACTACACTAGCTCGCAGTCACTCAAGCAATACAAAGAATGATCACCTATCACTTCTTACACCTATTTTTACTAATAACAAAGCATTTGATCTTGCTTTGTGTAAGATTACTTTGCCACCTTCCGTAAGTATGTCTCGATGCTTCCTCCAATTTATGTAGCCTTTAAAGGTAATGACCTCCTCTTGATCTTCCTTTGATTCGATGATCTTCCCTACAATCACAGATTCCCAACAATGACTAATAATTGAGATTGGTGGGATCCTTTTCGGTATTTGGACGCAGAAAGGGAAACCCTTTTTTTCTCAATAGGTAGTTCATTAGTTGTGTAGGTTGACGAACCATAAAAGTTTCTTAGATAATGTAATAGTAGATTATATATATATATATATTGATTTTTTAGTATTCGCCTTTCTATATTTATTGCATATTATGTATTTGCTAATTATATTAGGTAGATAATAAGGAAGTCCTTATGATTTTGTGCATCAAATGCAATCAAACGTCTGAGAGCAAGCTATGACAGGTAACAGAACATATATGATTAGTTAGCTCACCCACGTGTCTCTTTGATCCATCTCCAAAGAAGGAATCCACGACAAATGATACGATATAAAAGCATATTGAGTGGGGAAATCCATGTTGATTCTCACAAATACACGTCGCTTATTGTTATAGAGCGAGTCTAAGGAAACTCTATTGGAGCTTGTCTATGCAGCCTTTTCCTACTGCTTTCCCTCATCAAGACTTTTCGTTTCTTTCTTTTCTGCTATTTCGTTTTACAAACAAAGAACTCAAGGGGAACCTCAATTCTGGGACCATCTTAGTCCCTACGGTCCATTTTCTAAACTCAATAACGTGATCCCAACAGGTTGAGTAGTCGAGAGTGAAAGGGCCAAACAGAATATATGATTATGGTTATCTACCAACTGACCAAGCTCAGGATATCACCGCATCAGCAATGAAAAGGTTGGTTGTCAAGGACTTCTCTTTCTCAGTGTTTGATGCACAGCCTGTTGTGCTATAGGTGACGAGAAGCCGTCGTTGAGGACAGATGACGAGGATCATGGAAGCTTCCATAATTGCCGCCAGCGCGAATTGGGGAAGTTGGGCGTGGGTTGATGGAGCTCGTAGGAACAGCTTCCAGGAATGGATGATAGGCATGTTGGGGTGGGCATTTGCCTAAAATTATTGCTGGAGTTATGGCTTCTGGGAAAACTGTCGACAATCAATACATCTCAATAACTTGAGTAGTTGAAATGTTTGAAGATCTCCCACATTGGGAGAAGAACTTCTTAGGAGCTGTAACTTAAGTCATCGGCACAACAGTAGGCCCAGGCATGCTGGGATTACCTGCTGCAACTATGAAAGCTGGTGCAGAACGCCCAACAATCGCCATTTTCTTTCTTCATAAAAAAAAAAAACATGTGCTAGCTGTAATGCAATCTCCTCCATCATTCTCGTAGCTTAGCCGAGCTTTGATGCATGTAATAGAATGGAGTTTCGGAGGTGAGCTTTACTGTCTTTGCAACGAGCATTAGGAGGACGCTATATTGGTGCTTTGGTGGGACCTTTGCCCGACTGTCCTGGAGTATTTCTGCATTTTTGCCTGCTGTGCTTCCGACGGTGCTCATTTTTAAGGTTTCATGTGATATGTAAGATTGCTAGGAAAACCGTTTCCAAAGCTCGAAAGGCGGTTTTGTTAGGTGGTGCTGTTCCACTGGTCATGTTGCTGTCGTGGGACTTGCACGGGATAATAATGTGGCTGCATCGAACAGTGATCCCATCTAGCTCTTTCTGTCAATCCTTCTGCTCTACCTCCTGTTCAAGGATTTGCCTTCTCTGCTCTTTAATAGGTTATGCTCTTAGCTTCCCTTGATACTTTGGACCTGATATTAGGTAAATCAAATACTGAAAAAAGGAGCTAGCTTTACTTCTAAAACTCATCAGTACCTGAGATGGAAATGGACATGCAAGTGTAGTAGTTTTTGCTGGTGTGCACAGTTCAGGAAACCCTGGCAGGCTACTTTTCAACAGATCAATTTCTCCTGCAGACCAAGCTGAAGAATTTGCTGCTGCATCACAGAAGAATTTGGTCATGGAAATGATTCTTGTGAGTTCCCAGTATCATTGAATCCATTCAGCAATCCAGCAAAAGAACAGCATTCCTCTACTAGGTGGATGGAATATTTGCACCTCTCTTCTTTAACATAGAAGGTTTGACTTTTCAACCTAACCCAAAAAAAAAAAAAAACGGTTTTGACTCCCAAAACTCTGATGTTTGCTTCAGTGGTCACCCATGGGATTAGGTGCTAATCCTTATAGGGGTTAGCACCGTGATAACTAGCAAAAAACGCTACTAAAAATAACGAAATCACTACGGATTATAATAAAATCACTACTAATTCAAACTAGTAGTAGTTTTTCCCTTGGTTAGGACGGTGCTAACTATTGTACAATTAGCACCATAACCCCTCCCTAATTCTTTACCTGTTGCACATTAGTATTTATTTAGCAGTAGGCATAAATCAGGCACCAAATACAGCATTAAATTTCAACCCTCAGGAATTGATCAAGATGTAATGAGATAAAAAAATTCCAACCAACCTGGGGGTTGAAGTCACTAAAATCAAACCTGTCTAGATCAATCGATCTGCATGTCCAATGGATCATATCGCACTCTGGCCGGGAAGTTTTATGGCATTTCTCTGGTGCATCAATTTTCTAAACTTTTCAGCATCACCAAACCTCCCAGCACCCACAAATATGTTATGCATCAGCACGTAGTCACCTCCATATCCTCTCTCCATCTCCATGATCTTCCTTGTTACCCTTTCAGCCATCTCAACATTATCATGAAAGCTACAAGCTCCTAGAAGCGTTCTCCAAACCACGACATTTGCAATCTCTGTCGGTATCTCCAGTGCCAAATTTTCTGCTTCTTCTAATCTGCCCAGCCTAGCCAGCATGTCTACTAAACATCCATAGTGCTTGATATCAGGCAAAATTTGATACTCATTTACCATCTTTTCTAAGAACTTGAGTCCCTGATCCACTAGTCCTCCATGACTGCACGCATTAAAAACACTCAAGAATGTGACCCGATTAGGTTTCCAACCCGCTTTCTCCATTCTATCAAATCTTTCCACAGCTTCCTCCCCGAACCCGTGCATTGCCAGCCCAGTTATAATTGTTGTCCATGATACCAAATTCTTCCTCTCCATCAAGTCCTCAAAAAACCTGGAAGCACTCTCTATGCACCCACATTTCGCGTAAGTATCTATGACCGAGTTAGCAACCCGTATGTCAAACGCAATCAACCCTCTTTTCTCCGCATAACAATGAACCAACCTGCAAACCCTCATGTCTTTCAAACCTGAAACAGCCGGCATTAAGGCAAGAATGGTAATCTCACTTGGCTTCATATTCTCACAACAAACCATCCTCTGAAACAAACTCAAACCTTCTCCAAACCTCCCGATACGCACATGCCCATCAATCATCCCGGTCCACGTCACAACATTCTTCTCCGGCATCTCATCAAACAGAGACCGAGCATATTCCAGCTCACCCCACCTCACCAATCCCGTTATCAAAACATTCCAACTAACCGAATTTCTGTCAGGCATTTCATCGAACACCTGCAGCGCATCAGACAAAACACCTGCAGCCGTATACATGTTCAACGCCGCGGTCTGGACGTAGACGTGAGAATGAAACCCGACTTTAATTCCGCGACCCTGGAACTGGGTTCCGATGGGGAGAGAAGAAGCGTGAGTGGCGGCGTTAATGAGGAAAGTGTACGAGAAGCTGTCGAATGAAGGAAGCTGTAGAGACGATGAGGAGGAGGAATGGAAGCAGTACAGCGACTGGAGTTGGTTGTAGAGGGAGAAAGCTTTCTGCGGGGAGCCACTGAGGGAGTAAGATCGAAGCAGAGTGTTGAAAAGGCGGATTGAACGGATTAAGTGGCCGGTTGTAAGCAGCAGAGAGTGAGTTTGTTGCGTGATGGCGACAAGGTTGGAGGATGCTGCGTTTGTGAGTAGCGAGTACAAAAACCGCTCCATAGAAATTACCAACTGTTCGCTGAACGTGTAATCTATCGATCTAATTTTCTGACTCTCGTAATCGTGCTCAATTCTTCGTGAAAAATGCTCATATGAGTAGGGGGTGTTCAAACGGTGTGGTTATCGTGGTAATAATTTTAATCAGTAGTATTTGGCTAATTTGGTTTGGTTAATTTCGATAATTGGTTTGGTTAAAAAATTTAGCTTGTTTGGTTTAAGTGGTTTGGTTTGGTATCAGGCACTCCTAACCAATCAAACCAAATTAACCAGTTAAGTAATTAGCTATATATCTAATATATATTATATACACATACTTAATACTTTGATAACCACTCAAGAGTCAAATGTAAGATAATTGTCTTTGTTACATGTATTTACGTTAAGGGTTAACTACAATTATGTGGATTGTTATGTGTTGTTCATTATATAAATTGCGAATTGATGCACTAACTGAAATTTTTTCTCACTTAATGATAATATGGTGTTATATTGGTTATTTTGGTTAACCAATTAACCAAACCGAATAAACTTTAGTTTGGTTAATTTGGTTGTTGTATTAGTTTGGACGGTTTGGTTATGATATTGTATTCCATGGTTAATAGAGTTTAGACTTATTTGGTTTGGTTATTACCATGGTAACCATTTGAACACCCCCTACATATGAGTTAGAACCGGATTATTTATCGTCATTTGGAAGTTACAGGGACCCACTCACCAGTCAGCGAGTCGGGGTCTAGAGCGAAGAGCTCGGTTAGGGGGCTCGGTGAACAAGGTTCCCACAATATATAGACTAATACACGTATTGGATTTCTGCTCTAGGTCTGGTTTATATAATTTTATTCTTTACCAAATTAGATTATGAATTTAAGATTAAACCGTTTGGAGGAGTATTATATATACTTGTCATAAAGAGATGAAGAACTTTAGATCATCTTTTTCTCCTTTGATTGTACTTTAATCCTTGTTTGTTGAATGAATTCTTCCTTATTAAGCTCCACCAAGGTCGTGTCTCTCACTAAAACTGCCAATAAACCATATTTTCACACTATAAGGCTGGTTTCCTATAGGAATTAGGGTATCTTCGAATTTATAGGCGGCCAGAAACATGGACATGATCGCGGCCTCGTGTTGTGAGATTACAGTCGCGATCTTCCTTCCCAATACACGATCTACAAACAATTTTTTGTTGTTGTTGCGCTGGAGCTAAGTTCTCGGCTTCCAGATCACGATCACGAACTAAAAGTCACGACAGCGAACTTTGCCGCGGGCTCGAGTGCGAAGGACCACAAAAAGGACCGCGACTCCTTCTGTTTCTTATTGGGCGTGGCCTCCTTGAGATCATGACTTAGCGATCTTGTGTGTGGCTCGTTATCTCTTCGCGACCGAAGGAATCTCGGTCGTGATCTTATGCTCCTTGGTTGTGAACTTATGTTTTGCCTCTTTTTACCCTTTTTTTTCCTACCCGTGAATCCTCTTTCTTTGCCAAAATAGTTTGTATTCCCCGATGCTACTTAAATGATCATGGATATGATGAAGGAAAACAATTCTAAGAACGGAGAATTAAATAAATCAATACACTCAATATGACATGAAAACACATTCCCCAACACTTAAGTCTCCCTAACCTCTCCCCTCGATTTGTTTTTAGGAGAAGGGTCAGTAGTAACTAGAAATGTTTAGTTTTTATACCAATGTTCCACTCAACAAAGATGTTCTAAAATGATCAGACATAGGTGTAAAGTGTCAGATCAAGACTCATAGGTGTAGATAAGAAAATTTCATATTGTAACAGTTTTATTCTCCACTTACTCCAAAACTTTTATTCTCTTTTTTGTATTTTTATTTGGGGTTGTAGCAACTTGAAATTTTTGTTTTTGTCTTGGAGCAGGCAAGTAGGGGAGTTTCTTTTAGCGCTTTTTCCGCCTACCTATACCTCACCCAATATGGAGGGGCCACAACATGTGGATAACCGACCTTTGAATGGTAGCAGGCCGAAACTGAGTGGTTACTAATGTGAATCACCCTCTAATTGGGATGCGATGAGGAACTATTGCTACTGTTGCTACTAATACTAATAAAGACACAAAATAAATCAATATGTTGCGGTTCCCTAGGAATAGTGATTTTCGAGATACAACATAAAGTAAAGCATAAACTCAATAAAAAGTGGAGTAAAGGATACACAATTGATAAGATAGTTCATCCTAGATGATCATACATCTCAATCTGAATAATGGTATGTATCGATGCATTTTCTATCATGTAACCTTATCCCTTCTACTAAAGCATTCCTAATCGAGCTTTACCACATGCACAAAGACCTATAACTAGCTAATACATACTTTTTCTTTATATCATTAAACTAATAAATCAAACAAGAAAGTAAGGATGGCACATTAACTATTTAGTGCCTTTATGAATAACAGTGATTTTTCATGTAATGTACACCAAATTTACCTGGCCCTAAGGCTAGGATAGTATTCCCTTGGGCCTATTGCGGCTTCGGAAGCAAGGTACATTTCTATTTAAGAAGAGGTCGGTTTAGCTGGTTGAGGTTCCTCCGGTTTTGCAGAACGTAAGTGTTCGAAATGTAAAGAAAATGCAAAAAAGTAAATCTATGCTACGGGAGAAGTGAAAGAGCATAGAAGGAAAGTGTTGCATAGGCAATGTTCCCCCTAGGTATCCTAAGCACGTGCCCTCGATGATCAGAGTATACGAGCTTTCAATTTCTTATTTCGTTAGATCCCACCTTGTGTTGAAGCATTTATCCGAACTAATGGGCGACAAGGGTCATTCGAATTACTTCATTGAGGTGCCACGCCGTTTGATCAAATGAGGTTTGATCTAGTAGAACTGCTATTTCTATACTCATCCTAAATGACTAAGATTTTGAGTCTTGCACCTCGAAGGAGCGCAAGATCGACTAAGAAATCATTTGAATAAGCAAATAACGAAATAGAGGAAATCAAGCATCAAACATATGAATAAGAACAATCATAAGCCAAATCAACGAGTTTATATGGTTAGAACCCCTAGGGTTCACACACCTACGCAACTCAGGTACATAGTCGACCATGGGGAGGGTTTCCTAGACATTCATAGATTGAAAAGAATACTTCAGGGCACCACATGAAGCAGCGGCCAGAAAAGAGGAAACGAGCCTAATGGCGCATATTTTGATGTCGATTGTCACTCGAAGGTGGCATCAGTCTAATTCAAGAGGGTTGATATGTCGACATAGTAACAACCTTTGCTTGACCTCTCATCTCTTCCTTCTAGGTCCTAGATGTACTGACTACTCAATGAATTCTCTATTATCTAGAGGTCAAAGTGTAGAGAAGTTTGTTGCATGCAAAGCAGAAATAAAAGCATGTAAATGTTCTTATTTCCAAGTTTGAGAAAGAACACTCAGGTAAGCGTCCCCTAGTCTGCACTTAGGCCAAGTTGTAATTCATCCAATCCTATTCAATTGTCATTTATATTGCATAAAGTCTTTAAATAATCTGGAGTATCACTAAAGTTCTCCAGATCCTCTTGAATAGAACACCCCACGGGATACTATCCTCCACCAAACTAAACTACCAAGGCAATTAAAACAAACTTCCTCTACTAGATTTTGACTCCAGTACATAGCAGTGGATCAATTGACTCTCGTACGATTGATCCACTACTTCCAATTTAGGTTGCTCGATTGATTTACTCAGAGACTATCGTTCTAAGTTAAAGCAGAAATCATACAAACGTGATAAAGACTCATATAATTTTGATTAGTGCCTCAATTGAATATATAATCATCAAATGTCATGAATATGGCTTCATACAACTATTCCTAACATCTCGATCTAGGGTTCTTTATACCCAAGTGGAAGGCATGGGTTTACTCCATGGAGAAAGAGAGAAACACAATGCTAGTGGTGGAGATCATCGTGTGAGTGAATGAAATCTTCTAAGGTGATCAATTGATACTCCGAACGTGAAGGATCGAGTTCCAATTGTCTTAGGTGACTCGAATTAGCTCCATGGCTATTATTCATCACTTTCTCTGTCAAGAACTCTCTTAGACTATTCCAAAAGTTGGAAAATCGGATCCCAGCAAAAATCCCAAGTATTGGGTGGCATGAATCGCTTACTTGGGTGGCATGCTAAGGTTTGGGAGAGAGAATTATAATGGAGGAATGCTATACAAAAATAAGAGCTAAAATTTGAGGGGAAAAGAAGAATGCACAAGCTGGTCAAACCTGGGTATTTAAAACCCGAGGATGGTCAAGATTGTGGGCTAGCCTCGCTAGATTGCAGCCGCAAACTTAACCACCATAACTACGATCTTTGACTATAACACCGTAGGTGAATCCAACATCTACAAAGCACGGGAGAGATCCATGTTTCATAAGTAGAAAACCGGCCTTAACCGACAAGACGCGTTTTGGGGTGAAATTGAGGAGTTCTTGTGAGAACTCCAAAGTTAAACGTGCTCAGTGTGGAGTACAACAAGGATGGGTGACCTTATGGGGAGTTGTTGGGAAATCAGAATACGGTGCAAACTGTTGTGTATTATTTCTAACACCACATGGGGTTTATATAGAGTACAAAGACTGACTTCTATAATAACCCTAACACTAATGCGACTCTGATTAGGAATATAACTCTGACCAATTACATAACAGTACTCGTAGTATAACATAATACTACTCGTACTACACATACTCTAATACCCTCCCCCAAATTGACGGTAATTACTTACCAACAATTTGAAAACCGAAACAAAAACGACACAAATTACTACGAACAATGTGACTGAAAAAAACAATGAAAAACATAACTGCTCCACCAAATATGCCGATGTCGATGAAGACCATGTCCAATGCTTCATGAAACGTCGATGGTGATAAGCTGGAGATAACAAAAGGTTTTGCAAAAGTCGTATAGTTCGTCGAACTAATAGAACCACGTGCTCCAAAAAACATCATGGCGATCAGGATGCTCTGAATAGCATCATCGAAACATAAACGAAACCAAAAATGCTCCAAACAGCATTTATCAAATTCAGATGTTCCGAACAACATCTTCAACCAAGGTGTTCCAATTCAAAATTGAAACAAAGCAACCATAGGGACGAAACCTATGGCTGTACCAAATCGAGACGGGCTTCAACGACTCCATCTGAAGAGTAAAACCGTGCGGGCTTGGCCCAAAGCGGACAATATCGTACTAATTGAGCACCCCGGTGTTTGACAAGTGGTATCAGAGCCTGATTCGGTTCGGGGAGGTGGATGTCAGTTTCGTGGGACCCTCATTCGGTGACCTCGGGATTTGAGATCTGCGTCTGGTTTGGTGGATCCAAGGGAGATCCACGTTTGGGATGTTTGGCGGATCAAAGAGAGTTCCAAGTCTGAAAAAAAGGTGTCTGGTGGACCAAGATAATCGTTGAGGTGAGGTCAAGAAATTCGTGGTCCTTGTCTTGAGGGAGGATTGTTAGGGTACAATCCAAGTACCACATCGGAAATACAAGGGAAGGAACCCTTGTATATTAGAGTCCACCTAGCCCAATTAGTACGAGGCCTTTTGGGGAGGACACCCAAGAGTATAACCGTGCGGGCTTGGCCCAAGGCGGACAATATTGTACTAATTGAGCACCCAGGTTTGATACCATGTTAGTAAATCAGAATACGGTGCAAATTGTTGTGTATTATTACTAACACCACATGGGGTTTATATAGCACCCCAAATCGGACAACATCGTACTAATTGAGCACCCCGGTTTGATACCATGTTAGTAAATCATAATACGGTGTAAACTGTTGTGTATTATTACTAACACCACATGGGGTTGATATAGAGTACAAAGACAGACTTCTATAATAACCCTAACACTAATGCGACTCTGATTAGGAATATAACTCTGACCAATTACATAACAGTACTCGTAGTATAACATAATACTACTTGTACTACACATGCTCTAATATGTTCCGAACAAAACCTCCATGACCGAAACAAAGCAACCACAGGGACGAAACCTATGGTTATGCCAAACCGAGATGGACTTCAACGACTCCAGCTGAAAACCCTTGCAATCAACTCGAGTTATTGGGAACAACTGGTTCTTGACATGGTATCAGAGCCTTCTGTGACCGTGAGGTCTTATGTTCGAATCCCAGTGACCCCCATTTGTTTCTGTTAAGCACATGGTGTCTGATGCCTGTGCAAACTTCAAGCCCATATATAGTGGCTTTCGTTTGAGGGGGTGTGTTAGTAAATCGTATATGATCCACGGTTGAACCTCTCCCAACAACTCGAGTAATTGGGATCAACTGGTTCTTGACATGGTATTAGAGCGGACAACATCTTCAACCAAGGTGTTCCGAACAACACCTTTAAAATCGATACAAAGCAACCACAGGGACGAAACCTATGGTTGTACCAAACCGAGACGAAACCAAAAATGCTCCAAACAGCATTTATCAAATTAAGATGTTCCGAACAAAAATGCTCCAAACAACATTTATCAAATTAAGATGTTCCGAACAACATCTTCAACCAAGGTGTTCCGAACAACACCTTCAAAATCAAAACAAAGCAACCACAGGGACGAAAGCTATGGTTGTACCAAACCGAGACGGACTTCAACGACTCCAGGTGAAAACCGTTGCAATCTCCACCATGACCAAACAATCAAATTACTTCATATTCACCAACCCACGCTTTCCAATCCGAACTGCAACCTGAACTCACGTGACAAATAAACTTCACCCAGTTTGCAATGAAGGTAAAGCACTTCTTTGATCTCCACTGCAACTAATTAATCAAGCGAAGCAAAGCAACCAACTAATAGTTGGTTCCTTTACTTTGGCCCAAAAAACCAAAATCACACTGCTGTATACCAAACTTGACGGATCCAAGAATAAAGGCTATATAGAAGCCGCAATAAAGCCTCCGAACCAAAAACAAAGCAACTATATATAGCAGATACGAACCAAGAAGTAGTGATTTGGAGACGGACAGCTGACGAGAAGCTTTTTTCATGATGATACAGGTCTCGGTATGGCCGACCATGCGACACAGCAGATCAAGCGAAGCGATGACCGGGGAGTAATTATTCCGGGACAGAATTCTTGACGTCGAAGTTAACCACCAAACTAAAAAATCACAAAGCTACTCCAAGGAACAAACAAAGCAATAACGAGATGAAGGAGAACATATTACTGGCGGGTAAGGAGAAATAGACAAAAAGATTGGATGGCTGGAGTTATCATGTTCCCGGTGACTCTGGAGTCATGTTGGCGGCGGGATAGGAAGGAAGATTAGGGTTTTTCAATTAGGTTTTTGAATCAGGCTCTGATACCATGTTGGGAAATCAGAATACGGTGCAAACTGTTGTGTATTATTACTAACACCACATGGGGTTTATATATAATACAAAGACTGGCTTCTATAATAACCCTAACACTAATGCGACTCTGATTATGAATATAACTCTGAACAATTACATAAAAGTACTCGTAGTATAGCATAATACTACTCGTACTACACATACTCTAATAGAAGTCACCCTAAATTGCACCCCAAGTCGAAATTTGTGAGGGTCGAGACCCAAAGCGGACAATATCTTGCTCGCCGCTCGGAAATAGGTTCGGGATGTTACAAGTGGTATCAGAGCCTCTCCGCGTCCCTCTTGAACAATGGTGGGGCAACCCTCAACGAGGAAGTTGATTCCCAAGGGGGTGTATATAACACCTTGGGCGAATCCCACATCGACAAAACATGGGAGAGATCCATGGTTCATAAGTAGGAAACCGACCTTAACTGACAAGACGCGTTTTAGGGTGAAATGGAGGAGTTCTTGTGAGAACTCCAAAGTTAAACGTGCTCAGTGTGGATTACAACAAGGATGGGGTACCTTATGGGAAGTCATCCTAAATTGCACCACAAGTCGAAATCTGTGAGGTAGAGGCCCAAAGCGGTCAATATCTTGCTCGGGAATAGGTTCGGGATGTTACATTGACTGCCCTGACCCTCAACTTCTAAAAGTTTACATGCATAAGGCTATGGATTGAGTTGAGAACTAATTCCTTGTCATGAGAACTAAAAGCATAGGGATAAAACATCCTATATTAACTAGGAATTCTACAACGAAGATATATAAAAAGAAAAGGAAAGAAATCAAACCGAAACTTTGGGGTACCTCCCAACAAGTGCGTCTTTAATGTCTTATCGCCAGACTCTCCAAGGTGGGTTAACTAGAAGGTGGTAGTGCATCCAAGTTTGTCATTATTATCATCATACACACTCTTGTGGTTGAGTCCGAGGTGTAGACCATGTAGTCTTCTGCTTCCTTCCTCCTTCAATGGGTGTAAGGGCAATCTTCTTACATTGTCTTGCTCCATGGAAGTGCTCATAGATGATTTGATATAGGGACGGGTAGTTGTAACCTCATTGGATGCTCCATCGAGATCTAGCTTGGACATCTTTCTCCCTTCCTTAGATGTCTCACTACATGCATTCTTGGTTGTTAAAGGGCCCATATCAAGTATAGGTAACTCTAGAGAAACTTAATTTTTTTGTGGTGATGTTCTCTCATAGGAAGTGAATGTCGAAGAAACTCCTCGTCTATCATTAGAGAGTTTGATAACTAACTATTTGTCACCAAATTCAGTGATGACCCTTCTTTTTGGGACTTTGATTGCCGCTCAAGCGGTTTCTACAAATTTTTTCCTGAGTAGGATGTGGGTTATCTCTTCTTCTTCAGTGTGTAGTACCGCGAAATCCACCGGGTAGGTGTAAGACCCAACTCTCACCAGTGATATTCAATAATTCCCACATGGTAGACTATTGTTCGATCCGCCAATCGCATGGCCATATTCGTTGGCCTTAGCTCTTGCAATCTCAATTCCCTATATAACTTTAGTCTCATCACACCAAGGTAGGCAAAGAGGTCGACCATGACATCTTTGATTATGACTCCTCGAATATAGCATGGTATGAAAAATAGGCAAGGGTTATCCCTTTTAACTGGAGTCTCATGTCGAGTAAAAACATGGCAGATCTGGCCATTCTCTACAATAGGGGCTTCGTCGAATTTCCATTTAGTAGACACTAAGTGCTCAATGCGCTTGACGAATTTGGAAATCTTAGAGCCTTTTCCAATGGAAGGAAATGTAAGTGCTACCTCTTAAGCGACTTCTTACTTTTTTTCTGGTCAAACTTTACACCAGGATCAAAATCTATTTGATTCGGCACAATTATTAACTCACTCTTGGTAGCTTTACTCGGTGTCGGAATTGTCACCTCACAGTGTTCCCCTCTAAATTTTGGAGATCCTTGTTCTTCCCTTTTATCGATTATGATCTTCTCCAAAGCTCCAAGGGAGGATGGCATTGTCTTCATAATATCTGACACTACCTTATGCTCTGCCTTAAGAGAATTCATATTGGTGATGGAAGCTTGCATGAATCGATCAAAATGATTCATCATGTGATGGAAAATAGAGACCCAATCCAAAACACGCTCCTCCAAATGATCTAAATGACGTTTCAACTATTGGAAAGAGCCACAAGGTTCTTCAAGTAGGCTGAAATAAGGATTGCCTTAAGGTTTAGGGGATTAATTGGAGTGGTTTGTACCCCCACCGTGTTTAGATCAAAAGCTTGCTCCACACGCATTGGCATTTTGAAAGCTTTCCTCTTCTAAAAGTTTGTTTAACTTGTCCTCGGCCTCCTTGATTTGGAGTTCAAATTCCATTTCGCATTTTGATCTTGCCACTTCTACCTTGATTTGCTTGCATAACTCCTTGCCTTGCTCTGGATCATTGTATTGTAAACACAAGGGTACTTTCTTCTAATTATCTCCTTGAACTTTTCATGAAGTCCGTTAAAAAATCTTTAGTTGAGGAGGCTCTCAGGATGTTCATGCCTCGAAAATTGATGAATCGTAGCATTGAATCTTCCCTAAGCTTTGTGGAAGCTTTCTTCAACTTCTTGTTGGAAGGCCAGAATGTCCTTACGAGGGATAGTGGACATTGAATCGATGTGGTAGATGAATACAAAGCTCTCCATGGTTTCAACTCAAGAGGTAAAATTCGAAGTCATGAGCTCCTTGTACCCCTTGGCTAGTTCTTCCTTCAGAGAATCGGTAAACATGAAACTTAGGTAAACATGAAACTGTTGATATGATTTTGATCACATCATGATATTCTCATGGTGTTGACAAAGCTCATGACATTCCTTAAGTGTTTAATGACGCATTCATCCTCCTTTTTCTCGAAATCGAGGACCTTGGGAAAGGAAATAGATTGAACTTCTAAGAACGATATTCAATTCATGATTGTCCATAAAAAAATGCTCGAGTCGGTCTACTTGAAACACACAACCTTTAACAACCGTGATGAACAAAGTGGAATAAAAAAAGACAAGATAAAACTAATATATATATATATATATATATATATATATAAACGGAAAAGTAAGACTAAACTAACAAATATATGATTTTCAAGTAGTTATCGAGGTTTCCCGCCAACGATGCCAAGAACATGGTGTGACCCTATCTGGTTATTAAATAGATTGAAAGGCATGTATTAACTAAACCATCTTGAGCCAACTATAACTCAAGACGACATTGTCAATATAGTTGTCGACCAAAGTCGTATTCCACGGGTTTTGATACCCTAAGCTACTTCTCATGTTATCTAGTTGTTTGGTTTAGGGTTGTTTTGGAGGTCAAATGGAAATCACTGGTGGAGAAAGCAAAGATAAAAGCAGGTACACCGGGGTATCACCCTCGCTCTGTATTTAGGTCTATCATGCAAATGGTTAATTACGTCGGGTTTGATAAAATAAGATGCGGGACTCACTAAATTGGGACTAGCTCAATATTCATGCAACTAGCCCCCCTCCTAGCACGATTCCTTGATCCATTGTCACATCGATCAAGTTCCCGATACTAGGGATGCATTCTAGACCCTTCCTATAGGTTACACCTATCTTGGCTCCTCATTCTTCTCCTTCCTTCAGCTTCTCTCTCTAACATTTCTCTCAAACTAGAATTTTTCCAAGTGATTTTAGCTCCATTGTTAAGGGGAAGGGATCCCCTATTTATAGAGTTCAGGCTGTTGGGAAAGTGCTCGGTTAAACAGGGGAAGATCTTGGTCGTGATCCTTAGAGAAGAGGTTGCAAATTTATGCATTGCGGGATTGTGAGTTTGGGGCCTCACATCAAGGTCTTGATCTTTATCATGTGCATAGACAACAAGATCTGGGATTCGACTGTCGAAACTCTCTGGTCCTCCCTTGGTGGCTGCTTCTGAAGTTTGCACCCTTGGCTCCAGACTTCGCGGTCGTGATCTTGGCAGTGGAGGCTGAGATTTTGAGCTCAGCTTCACACCATTTCTTCATGGTTGTGATCTCCTTGCTCTTGGCCTTGATCTTTCATTTTTGCACATAATCCTAAAATTTTGACCCCTGTTAGTACCTAAAGTGTTTATATCATCTAAAACACCTGACTTGTCTCGAATATCACAATAAAAATCCTGATTAAGGCCCAAGTATAAACCTTAATCGGGTGAAATATAGGGAAAGTGTGTTTTAAAAGTCAAAACCAGGACGGTTTATGTAACCCTTATTCAATGGTTTGAAACATTATCTAGAAAATGGTTTTCGGTTAAAACTATGGTATAAAGCTAAAGCGATTGGAAAAGTAAACGGTTTGAACACTAATTGAGAAGGCTTCACTCGGGTGTTGCTCCCCCTAGATAGTAATCATGACTTGTCGGATCAAATGCAAATATGTGGTAAAGGTGGTTGACCATAGGGGAGCGCAACAAGTGAACACGCGTCACTCTCTCGGTCACTAAGCCAAGGGATTTGGAATCAAGCTACCAAGGCAGCTTTCTTGGCCAATCGACTAAGAGTTACTTGGGCTTCTCCCTCGAACCGTAGTCTACACAGCCAAAACACATCCTACCCAAGGTGCTAATACGTATTAAGAGGTTTTCCCTAATTCAACCTAAGTAGGTGACACAATTTGGCCAATGAATTCCAGCTTTTACAAGCCTCTTAGCAAGAAGGGGATTTCCCTCTACCTAGGTCAAAATGGCATAAGAGTTGGAAATGCAAAACACAACACAACCTTCATAAAAATACCTCATAAATTGTATTAAAACACAAGCACACACAAGTCGTTCAATCCATGCAAATATTCACATAATTATAGCTAGGGTTTACAAACACCCAAGTGAAAGAAAGGAATACTCCATGCTAAGAAGAGGGAATACACAAAGGAGAACAGAGAAACCCATCTTGATGATGTTTGTCTTATTACTTGTGGAGTGGAGATCAACCTTGGAGGAAGAAATTCCCAAAACTTTGCTCTTAGATGAAACCCTAACTTCTCCTCCATCCCTTGGTCATCACTTTCTCACTCTAGAAATCTGAAGAAGAAGTCACTCTCACTAGGTTCTACCTCTTTTATTCTGCACACTAAAAACCTACCAAAAAGCTCCTTTTCTCTCTACCAGCAACCTTCTATTTATAGAGCCCGATAGTCACTTTCAAGGTCAGCAGTTCACGGCCATGACTTTTAAGCTCTGACCATGACATCGGACCACAACGCAACGTCTTGGCCGATTTTAGTCCGACTTCACGATCTCTGGGAAATTATCACGGTCAAGCGACCGTGATAACCCTTATGCCCACGAGACGTGCGAAAATTGTTATGGATCCCACAGTCTTCATGCCCTCGGGGCAATTGTCACGGTCTTTGGACTTTTCTTCACTTTTTGGTGCTTTTCAACCTCCAATCGTCCCGAATCCTCGACCCTTCCACACGTGCTAGGACCTGAAATGTATAAAAATAACACAACCTAACGCAAAATAGGTCAAGAGACGATGAAATTCAAAGTTGAACTATCAAGAAATGAGTGGTAAAATGTGTACAATTGGACCCGAATCAACATCCTAATATGACAATATTCTCTTCGAGTTAGGGATGTGTTTGATGACATGTCAACCAAAGAGACCATGAAATGACTCAAAACAACCCTAAATATGAGGGTTAAATAACACAATTTTGGGTGTTATCATTTCCCCCACACTTAGGTGCTTGCTTGTCTCCAAGCAAACCTACTCAAACTAGTAAAACTTGGTAAACAATTAATATGGTATGCACTATAGTTCTTCATTGCACTAGTTCGAATAGTCTGGGTCAAGTGAACGTTAGACCCATCTTACTGTGAAAACACAAACTCCTAGATGAGGTTCATGCCAAATAAATATATTTAGACATTCAAGGTATGCGCCGGGGGCTGTCAAAAACAATAAAAACAATGGACTCTTTGAAGGTTATATTTATTCTTTCTTTTCAATGTAGAAGTCAAATTTTGAATATCCTTTTTAAACATTATCGAACTTGGCACCAAACATTAGCAATTTTGCAAATAGGAATCTCTCCTTCGTGACCAAGAGCAAAAAGATGTTGCCTTCTCATTCTCGGCTCCATGTGGGGAACATGATGGTCAAATTCACTGCCTGAGCACCACTTCCTAGTCTGCACTACTTGTCTCAACAACAGACGTGTTGCCACACATGTCGGGTACAAACGAGAGCCGAGGTCCCATGAGTCGCTAAAAGGCATGCTATCTCCTTACCGTACGAGTCCTTAGGAGGAGAGGTTTTTTGGGGAGGAAGGTTGTAAAAGACGACTGGGACGCTAGAAAGCTCTCAAAACCCCAAACACATCCTCAAATGGAACTTCGGACCGAGAAAAGAGCCCTTAAACAGCTTAACTAAAAAATTATGCCAAGTTGCCTCTCACGTGAGAACCTCAATTTTGAAAAGATTTTTTCAAAGTTGAGCACATTTTGAAAATGTTGCTTATTCCAAAATTGGGAGAGAATCCCGCACATATCCTAACCTAAGTAGCAAAAATTATCAGCTCACCAAAGAGGAATATAGAAGTAAAACCCCTCGTACACCGACATCTCTTGTAAATGCACACTACTCCCTACAAAGCACACACCATCGGCCACCTAATAAAATCAAAGCACATTGAGGAGGTAGATGCAATGGACAAGATGTTTGAAACCCTCAAATTTGATTTTTTTGGGTATTTCATCAAGGTTCCAAAAACACCACAAAACACATTCAATCGATAGCAAACACTCCCACACATAAATATCAACGTCTTACATTCACAATCATAGGGAGGCTACTAATGACCATGGCACAATCATCATGAATCATTCAAACATGCATGCACATCCCCTACCACACTTGAGAGACACATTGTCCTCAATGTGGAAGAATAAAGATAGGTTGATGAAGGGTTACCATAGGGTGTTTTGTGGGTTGGTGTAGGTGCACAAGTGTAGGTCTTGATCATCTTGGTGATTATACAACGATAAAGCCCGCAAGAAAGAGAGAAAATAGCATGGTTCAGGAAACCGTACCGGACGTCATACCGGATTCATATCTGGTATGATATTTTGTGGTACGACCGTGGTTCAATCGTTTCATATCGGTAAATACCGTTTTTGTAATAGTAAAATACTTTTTGGTAAAAAACCGTACTGGCAAAAACATGAAACCGTTCCGCAGTAAAACCGGAATAACATCGAAAAATACCAGATAGAAAATAAAAAAATATTAACATAAAAATTATAGGTATATAATGGAATAACTTAATATTACAGGGACTAAACACATAGAATAATTTCAGGTATCATGCAATAATTTTTCAATCCATCTAGAAAACTCTTTGTCTACTCTATTGTCTATTCACATTCCAATTTCCATTTTCAGTACTGTCTCTCCACTCTCTCTCTCTCCATTTTACAAATTCCAATATGCTTCTCTCTTGAAACAATACTTTCCTTACGAACAAAAAACTAAGAAGGCAGAGAGGGAGGGTAGAGTCTTGGCGACGTGAAGGAGATCGGAGGGAATAATGGCGGTCAGCGGAGAGGGGACTGCAATTTATTTGACATGGCAACCGCCGCCGCCAACGGGGAAAAATGCCGCCAACGAGAGCGTTGGAGACTCGGCGGCGTTCTCAAGCTCGTCCTTTTTGCCGGTCGTCGGAGACAGGGATGAGTTGGGGAAGATGAAGGGCGGTTCGCGGTCGAAGAGAAGAGAAGAGAAGAGAAGAGAAGAGGGAGACTCGACGGCTTTCTCGAGCTCGTCCTTCTCGCCGGTCGCCAGAGGCAAGGTTGTGCTGGAGAAGGCGAAGGACAGCGGCGTCCTTGGGCACTCGAGCTCATCCTTCTCGTCGTTCGCTACCGGCAACGGTGAGCTAGAGAAGAGGAGCGGCGGGGTGAATCTGGAGAAGAGAAGTGGAGCAGTCTATTAGGGATTTGTATTTGGAACTGCGATGTTCAGTTTCAAATAGCCTACCGCCGGTAGAAACAAAACCGGCCGATATTTCCTTTCAGACCGGTTAAACAAAAAAAAACCCGGGCGGCACGATAATTCAGCCACTAAATGGCTACTGTTTCGTTTCTAGACCGGTTTCCGATTGAACCGGTTGAACCGGCTGGTACGATCCTGTTTCCTTGTCCATGGAAAATAGAAGGTTATGGGGCACAAATGCAAAGTAGTTATATAAACAAGTCTACTACTACTAGGTAATAAAAAGTACGAGTACGAAAATGAAAAACGTAAAAATAGACATTGTTTATTAAAGTCAAAAGAAAGAAAATATATAAAAAAAATAAGCCTTGGATGTCTAGAAATCAATCCTCCTCGTTGTTGGTGTCTATGTCGCCCCTTTCTCGGCATCAAGCTGCATATCCTCAAAGACGATATCGTCGCCTTTGGATGGGGGCGATAAAGGAAATGATTGCTCCATCGCTGGAGGGGGCCACCTTCATCTCCTTCATAATCATTTGAACAGTGCCAACAATATTCCTTCTAGCCTTCCTATCAAACCTCCCTTTGATTACCAAGAAGTTGAATGTTTTGCTTGATAAGTTTAGCATTTTGCTCGACCAATGTAGCAAGAAGAGTTGCATGGTCACCTGAAGAGGATCCTTCTTCTTTTGTGCTTGCTCTTCATCAGCTATCTTGAGGTTGTAGGGAGAGCGACCGAGGCATTATTCCCATGATTTTCTTTTGCCCCCAAACACTTAAATAAGCTTCATGTTGGAAAGATGATCTGCGGTGAATAGTTGGGTGGATCTCATGACTATGCAATTACTAGCTTCCAAATCGATCCCGAATAATCTTGCGAGCCTAGTGACGCAGAGTCCTCCACAAATAGTCTTGAGCTTAAAGTTTGTAACATTATTGTAGAGTGTCTTAATAATGACCATTCTGAGATGGAGGTGGGGTTCAACAAACATCAATTGGAGGAGGTTTAAGTTCTTCTTTGTCAAGTTTCTAGCACTATTCTCCTTTGTAGTGACCGTATGAGAGAGGACATTTTGAATGATCCTCCATTCGGACTTGAGGAAAGTGCTCTTAGTAGTTGTTGGATAAAACGGTCTTGGTGGTCCACACTTCACAACTGGCTCATGATGAAATTCTCAGGATGGTTGCAAGTACCAAGATCTTCTCCTTCTAAAGCTCGGCCTTTCACAGTAGGTAAAAATCTCGGGGGATAGATCCCCATCACTTCTATGAACTCATTGCTCTTGGTTTCCCTCCAAGTGAAAAGGTGGTCATGTTGGCAAAATGTTGGTTGATGGTGAGAATTGAACACTTAACCATTCAGAGAAAATCAAGAAAAGGCTTTGCATAGATCTTCTCATTGATTGTAAATATATTTAGTCATGTCGGATCTCAGATGCGGGATCGAATTGGAGTTGCAGCTCTTAACTCTTCAAGCACCTCTCATTCAAAGCAGCAATGTTCCCCATAAGTTCGAGTGGAAAAACATGCATACTATACCTTTTCCTTCTCTTCAAACTTGAGGTATGGGTGAGGAGCTCTTTGCCCATCCTTAACCGAGTCGGAAAACTCCGCAACTTTCTTTGTCTTACCCATTCCTGTAAAGATAGCTCAGCACAAATGTGAAACCTTTGATTTACAAAAGTGGTAGATGGGAACAAAAAGTTGACTGATACAAGAACTTTAACCAACTTAGAAGGATGGAAAGGATGAAGAGAGCATGTAAACCGCAATTGCAATTGAGAAGTGGATTTAAGGACATGCAATGTAGGAAATTGGTTCACTTGAGCATTTCATCGAACACCACGAGAGCTTGAAATTAAAATGTGGAATTAATATTGGACTGGGATTTAAATTTACCTCTCATACACATCCCCAATCACAATAAACTACCAAACCAAGTATTAGAAGAATTTAAGCCAAGCAATATACATAACAAGGAAGCATATTCAAATCATGGTAAAGGAGATTTCAAGAGTTCTCACTCTCTCCCTCGAAGTTGGGATGAGCTTGCTAACCTCAAATGAAATGAAGTGAAAGTGAAATCCGCTTGAAGTGATATTCTAATGCATAAATCGTTCCCTTGGGTGGCATGTCAAGGTTTGGGATGCTATACATACATAAGAGATGGAAGTTAGGGAAAATGAAGAATGCACAAGCTAGTCAAGGCTGGGTATTTAAAACCCGTGAATGGTCAAGATTGCGGGCTAGCACCACTAGATTGCGGCCGCAAACTTGACCACCACAATCGCGATCTTTGACTGCCGTGAATCTAAACTTCCAAGAATTTACATGCATAAGGGTTATGGATTGAGTTGAGCTCTAATCCTTGTCATGAGAACTAAAAGCACAAGGCTAAAACTTCCTATACTAACTGGGGATTCTACGAGAGATATATATAAAAAGAGAAAGGATATAAAATCAAATCAAAACGTTGGTGTACCTCCCAAAAAGTGCGTCTTTAAGGCCTTATCGTCGTACTATCCAAGGTGGTTGACTAGGTGGTAGTGCCTCCAAGTTTGTCGTCGGTGTCATCATACACACTCTTGTGGTGGAGTCCGAGGTGTAGATCATGTTGTCTTCCGCTACCTTCCTCCTTCGATGGGTTGAAGGGTAATCTTCTTACATCGTTGTACTCCTTGGAAGTGCTCATAGATGATTTTACCTAAGAAAGGGTAGTTGTAACCTCGTTAGATGCTCCCTTTAGATCTAGCTTGGACATCTTGCTCCCTTTTTTGGATGTCTCACTACGTGGCGATGTCCTCGCATAGGGTGCGAGTGTTGGAGAAAATCCTTTTCCATCAATAGAGAGGTTGATAAATAAATGTTCATCACCAAATTCCATGATGACCCTTCTTTTTGAGACTTCGATCACCGTTCTAGAGATTTGCTAGAAAAGTCTTCTCGAGAAGGATGTGGGTTGTCTCTTCTTCTTTGATGTCTACTACCATAATATTCACCGGGTATGTGAAAGATCCAACTCTCACCAGGAGGTTTTTGATAATTGCCATAGGGTAGACTATGGTTCGATCAGCCAATTGCATTGCCATATTCGTTGGCCTTAGCTCTTGCAATCTCAATTCCTTATATAACTTGAGACTCGTCATACTAAGGTCGCTGAAGAGATTGACTATGAAATATTTTATTATGACTCCTCGAATGGAGCATGGTATAAAAAATAGCCATGGTCGTCCCTTTTAACTGGAGTCTCATGTCGAGCAAAAACAAGGTAGCTAGGCCAATTTCTGTAATTGGGGGTTTGTCGAATTTCCATTTAGTATACACTAAGTGCTCAATGCGCTCTGTGTATTCGGAAATTTTAGAGCCTTTATTCATGGAATGAAAGGTAAGTGCTACCTCTTGAGCTACACTCGGATCAACATCTATTTGATTCGACACAATTGTCAATTCATTCTTGATGGCTTTACTTGGTGCCTGAATTGTCACCTCATGGTGTCCCCTTCTAATTTCTTGAGATCCTTGTTCTTTCCTTTTATCGGTTATGATCTTTTCCGAAGCTCCAAGGGAGGATGACATTGGAAGATAAATTGCATAAATGGGGTAAGTCTATTTCAGACTTATGTATGATATGTCTTGGAGGAATTGAAGATCAGGATCATTCGTTGACTAGTTGTTCTTTCACAATATGTATTTTGAGAAGCTATTTGCAGGGTAGAGCTCCCCCGACCTACTTAGAATTGGGAGGGAACTGTTGATTGGTGTGCACAGAGATGGTGTAAGAAGTTACTTGAAGCAAAGCAGACTGATTTGGTGTTTGACCTTAGTATGGTGTGGAAGGATTGATGTTGTCATCTCTATGGGGGCAAGAAATGCAAAATCTCTAGAAGTTCTCTGTCGTGAAGTTCAAAGTACAGTTCGATGTAGAGTGTCAGTGGATCAGGATCTTCATAATGGACTGGATATGTTGAAATTTGGTTGGTAGATAGTTTGTTTATACAATTGTGATTTCGATTTGACAACCATTATTATTATAAACTAATAATACCAATATAAAATCATACTTTTAACTATATATAATATACGATACTATAATTAAAATGTAATTGATTCACAACAATAGTATATAGTATGAGAGAATAACATAATTGGGTATTGTGTCATCATGTAATTGGCTTTATCCTCTCTCTACCTATACTTATACAGACATGTCTGGAGCAATCATATCAACGGAGAATGTGGAGAATAGGGAGATTTCTCCAGGCAGGTGGGCTTTTTGGACTGACTCACATCTCCCGTAAGTCATGATGAATATGTCATCATGATTAATTAATATGTCAATCATACAACCAAAAAAAAAAGTGGTGGGTTATTTCTTTAAGACTTATATTAGTCAGTGTCAAGTATATAAATACAAAGGTGGGAAATTTCTAGTAACATACATGGAATAATTGACTTTTTGATGCAATTTCAAAACCTAATCTCATCACCTTCTTGACAAAATCGTGTGCTTTAAGTCTAGTTTTAGGCATGTCTCATTTGTCAAATAACTTATACATATGTATATTGACATTAATTATATTTATGTAACGAGTAGTTTTACTGATAATATGAACGCATTGTTTCTAGAATAAGGTGATGATGTATGCATGATTTTGTATTCAAATTACACGAGCTTCCTTAGTTCCCACAGAAAATTTATGTATTCTAACATTAATCATAAGGTGTAATCAATATATACATATATAGAACATTATTGACAAGATGAAAAAGATTAGGTTACTTTGTTCATTATAAGCCATATACTCATTTATTTACTATTAAAAGACTACCCAAACCTATACTTTATTTTATGCGGGGTCTTTTGTCGAGGGTAAAGTAAATTCTCAACACTATGACAGTCGTCCAATCAATTTTGATGGGTCAATTAAAATCAATTTTATACTATTTATTATTAATTTTTTTCTTAGTTTGAGGAAATTTAGTATGAAAATTCAATAATCCTATATATTTTTATACAAATGTAAGCTCTCATTTTCCGCATGTAGAAAAGGAATAAATCAATTAATCAAATTCTGGAAATCTTCATAGAGTGATTCTTTAAGAGTTAAATTTCCATTGATCCATATCTAGAGAAAAAGATCTCTTACTTTTCATTTCCATTTCTATTTTCATAAAAACGAATACTATGATTTGTATTTGGAACGAGCATGAAGACAACATCTATAGGAAAGCTTTCGTTTTGATTTTTATTTTATTTTTTGTGATTTTATATGATAGCCATGGTTTCTCTGAATTTGAAATTCAATGCACAAATCAATTGGTTCCATTAGGCTAGCGATAGGTTGTGTATGTGCATGAAAACACATTGTTGATGGCAACTCAAAAACGTTATTTGAATGGAGTTTTTTTGTGTGGTTAATAGCAATTTATACCCCTCTATTATTGTAAGTTAACAAACATACTCCTCTACTATATTTTTGCACAAATGTATCCCTCTATTTTCAAAATGCAACAAACTTACCATTCCATCCAACATTTCGTTAACTAACTATTAAAGGAGACAAAAAATGACCAAATTGCCCCTCAATTATTAATAATTTTTCAAACATAATCAAAAAAATATGAGAAAAATGAATGCTTTAATTTAAATACTTTTATTTTAAACAAAAAAACTTATATTTATGTAATAAGTGAAGTGCAATTACGTTATCTTCAGCCTTCTTTGAACGGTCAACTAACATAACTTTGGACGGAAGGGTATGTTTATATGTTTATTCAATAATATAAATGTACATTTATACAAAAATATAGTAAAGAAGTATGTTTGTTAAATTACAAGTATATGGTTATAAAATGCCATTAACCCCTTTTTCTATTAAAATTATATAAAAAAGCAAAACAAAACTCTCATATTTCTACATGTCAAAATATTGCACTTTTTTACTATCAAGCAAGTTATATCAGTCAAAATGTGTCATAAATAGATAATTGGGACTAAGGTTGGGTGTATAAGCATCGTTATGCATTTTTCCATAATCAAATATGGTTCCGTGATTTTGAATAGCGTAAGATTTTATTGGTGAAATTAAATAACTTTTCATCTCATACTCAACTCCTTGTAATGAACTAGTATCTCATTTGTTTCAACTCAGGTTTTTTTATTTTTTGTATAACGAGGTCAATATGGCCTACAAAAGGATATTCATTTTTTTTATATATTTGGAGAGAAAGCTTTTCGGGTCACCGATTACCATCCTTTTACCTCCTTTGTTTCAACTCATATTTTGGAAATTTTTGCACATAGAGAACTTGTTTATCGTGAATTACTATATAGTATCCAACCTCAATATATTTCGAGAAAAAAATTTCAAGCCAATTATGCAACCCTCTATCATAGATGTAGACGATGGTAAATGGTCGTTAACATATTCTTATCACCATTTTACACTATGGTATATTTCTGCAAACCTGATATCTCTACACCATGGCACGATATATTAACATCATGCTATAATATTTTGTGCCACCAACATTTAACACTAGGATATATAGTGGTGGAAGATGAGTAAAATCATATAGTGGATGTTATTTTGTAAGAGATAATTAATATGATTTTCTATGTGAAAAATAATAATTCTAATTAAAAGGAGTCAGATAGAGTTTGTTAACTTTTAGGACTAGTCACCGTGACTTGGAAAAAATGGTCGACCTCTTCACTGATATGGTCGACCTATTTGGACAAAATGGTCGACCAGATATACTATATTCTACTTTGCTATGTTCAATAAACGATCGACCTCGTTCAATAAAAGGTCGTCCACTATACAAAAAAATGGTTTACCACTTCCTTGAAGTGGTCTACCTCTTTCCCCAAGCGGTCCACCGCTTTCATAACTGGTCCACCTGATGAACCATTGCTAGTGATATCCCCATACCAAAGGGTGCCATTTAACCTCCTCTTCCTTTATCCTTATCGAATCTCATACCCTCTTTGCTTAATACTTCTTCATTACTAGGAAATCACATGCAAAATCATTCCCTGAGCTAGAGAAGTATTGTTTCACTGTACTTCGACATTTTAAAAGCCTCTTCCAGATTTAGTTCCCAACAGTTTTGACAGGTAAAGACCAAACAATATGATGCTTGATCCTATACCTACAAACTCATGCTACCCATATTGATCCCCCTTCAGCAAGAATTTCCCATAAATGTCTATGAACACATGCCATATTCCATATCTTAAAATTTCCCACCCTAAGGCCACCTTCTCTATTTGGCTTTGCCAACTGGTCCCAACCATAACTGCTCTTGTTCTACCCCTACCTCAACAGGAATCCATAAGAAGGCACTACATAATCTCTCAACTTCTTTAATCACATACTTGGGTAGAAGAAAGAGATTCACCCAATACTGAAGTGTACAAGAGATTACTGTGTTTACCAATTGAATCTTCCCGCACAGCTAAGAAGATTAATTCTCCAACTTCTTAATCTCTTGGTATTCTTATCAATCAATACTTGACGGTCTTTTCTAGTAATTTTGTCTATTATTAATTCTCCAACTTCTTAATCTCTTGGTATTCTTATCAATCAATACTTGACGGTCTTTTCTAGTAATTTTGTCTATTATTAACTGGACTCCAAGGTATTTGACAGGTAATATACCTAAAAGAAATCCAAAATATGAAGAAATTATATCCATTTCACCTCTCTTTAAGCTCGCATAAAATAACCGACTCTTGGCAGGATTGCTCAAACCCGAGATTTGATAAAACTCTTCCAACCGTCTTTTAATACCAGTTATCCCTTGGATTGAACCATTTGTGAAAACCATTAAATCGTCAACAAAACAAAGGCTGGTAATCCATAATGGCTTACATCTTGGATGATAAGAAATTTCACACTCGTTCACTGCTTTTTTTATCAAACAATCAAACATATAATGAATAGGTAAGGTGAAAATGGATCCCCTTGCCTTAACCCCATTTTTGTTAAAATTTTACTACAATGACCCCCATTAATTCCAACACTGATGACAGGAGTGGTGATACTTGCTCTAACTAAAGCTACAAATCTCTCTTGAAAATCCATAGCCTTCATTACAGCAAACAAAAACTCTCCATTTATGGCTCTTTTGCTTCGTGGATTAGAAAATGAAGATTTTTGTATAATTTGGGTTTTGATAAACCATGGATATATGAGGGTTTTGGGTTCATTATGGATTTGTAAAAAATGATGGAATTCAAAGTCCATGATCAATTCCCACCTAAAGAGATGGAATTTTCAAGTCTGTGGGCCCCATGGTTTTGGACCCTTAGAATCAAGGGGTCTCACGGATTTGGTACCTCTAAATACTTGAAGCAAACAATGGATCGTGGACAAAGTCCATCATAAACTCAAATCCATCACCAAATCCATCAAGCAAACAAGCCCGAGTCAAAATCCTTCATGATATCAATTTTCACCACACATCTGGGAGAAACAATAGCCTTATGATAATCTCTAACAATCTCTAAAACCAAGAGTATATTATCACTTATGAAACGTCCCTCAGTAAATGTTGTCTGAGATATACTTATCACTTTAGGGAGAACAAGAGCAATCCTATTAGCCAAGAGTTTTGAAATCCCCTTGTAAATTACTTTGCAACAGGAAATGGAGTGATAATCATTCATGCTTTCTAAACTAGGCAACTTTGAAATCAAGGTAAGGATTGTTGAGTTTACAATTTGAGGCATAAAGTCAGTAACTAAGAATTTAAGAATTACCTCTTCAACCTCTATGTCACTGATATTCCAGTGATCAAGGAAGATATTCACTGGAAATCCATCCGAGCCAGGCGCTTTGTCCTTTCTCATGTCTTTCAATATTTGTTTGATTTCCAGTATAGAAACACCTCTCAATTCTCATCAACATTTCCCAGTCCAATGAGTCAAGTCTATGTTGAATAAAGGAATCATAGTAATTTTGTTGCTGCCCTACTACATCTTTATCCACTATGCCTATAAGATATGTGTAGAATGCAAGTGCTACAACTCCAGCACCTTTAACATTAGTATTAACCCTCCTTGACTATCCAGTATACGACTAATTACCTGTATTTTATTTCTAATTTTAACCAACTTATAGAAAAATGTTTTATTTGCATCCTCTTCCTGAATCCACTTTGTTCGAGATTTTTTCTTATAGATTGATTCATCGGCTCTTATAACTTTTAAACACTCTATTCCCATATTTTCTCCATCTCAATTAAATCTTGATTTGAATTTATAAGCAATTCAATTTGTAGGACCTCCAGTTCTTTCTCCAGTACCCTTACTCGTTCAGAAATCTCAGAGAACTCTTCCTTGTTAAGCTTCTTTAACCCTTCATTTACTTTAGTCAGTTCAACATAATAAACGTAATGAGGATACCTTGTGATCTCAGTATTCCAAACATAAGTGATTATTGAAAGATATGATGGATGATATTTCCAGAAACTTATGCTTAAACGGTTTAGGCAAATGCTTCAGAGGTGGGGAAGTTTCTAACAAGATCCCATAATGATCAATTATCACTCTTGGAGAAATAGTAAAAGCAGAACTCACCTTAAAAACTCCCAACCAAGCTTCGTTGACAAATAATCTATCAATCCTTCTTGCAATAGAAATTTTATGTTGCTTATTTCACCAAGTAAACCATGAAACTGCAACCTTATGATCAATTGACTTTATAGGTCCAATCCACACCCCGAAATCCTGCATACTTTGATTTAGCACAATGGAATTTGAAGCTCCATTTAACTAAGAGATGCCATTAAAGTCCCATAAAATAGAACATGGTGTATGAGTATCCTTTATCAATAGCATTTCTTGATATAACCTTGCTCTATCATTATCTTTGTTAGGGGAGTAGACAAATATAACATGTAAAGTCTCCTTCCAAACCACTTTCACCTTCATAAAATGCCCACCATCTTCAATTCTTGTAGACAAATATAACATGTAAAGTCTCCTTCCCAACCACTTTCACCTTCATAAAATGCTCACCATCTTTAATTCTTGTGACACTTAGATCCGGCCTCCAGAATATCTAAACACGACTGTCTTTAGACATATTGTAATTCTCCATATGACCTAAGGTGCAAATGTATTAGAAATTGTAGATTTACTATTTTCTACAATAACCATAATTTCCAACAAACCAATCAGATCAACCTTATACCTCTTTAACTGTGCTAACACAAGTGAAGGATTATCAGAGAAATTAAATCCCCCTGACTCGACCCTTTGGTGGGGACAGAAGTGAAGGAGCAACATTCTTATTTCCAACCTACAATCAAGACAAACTAGGATAATTATTTTCCTCCAGAAGTATTTGCCTTACAACAGCTTGAGTTCCTAATATGTTACCAGTACTAGTCATTGTCGGTTTGGTACATTGTTTTTTGTTGACCACTAGAGTAAATCCTTCTTCATCCACTACCACCACATGTGGAGGAGTGACAATCATATCCTACCTTACTAAAGTAGCCACAGGAGCTCTGCCTCTAAGCTTTGAACAACTTCTTTACCCTTTCTTTGAAGTTTATTCCTTCATATACTCCATTACATCTACTTGTTGCATAGGTAACTCCCCTATCACTAAATTTTTTGTCACCCACACTCTCTTTGTAGGCTCATCAGGTAGTGAGCATTCATTTCCAAATACATCACACTTCTCACAAACCTTTAGTAGATGACAATAGTTTGTCCCCGTGAACATCTTTGGAAGCCCATCCAGAGTAACACTTATCGATTCTATTCCTGCAACCTTAACTTCAACACAAATCTTCGCTTCAACTAGGCACAACCCTTTCCTAGTTGGAATATCCATACACATCGGTATCCCCAAGGAATTAGAAATCCTTACCAAACCCTCTTCAAAGCTAATTCAGTAGGAAATTTTGAAATTGGGATCCATACAGAAAAAGCAAAATTATCAATCGTCAAAGGGAAATACCTGGCTCCCAATGTCGAAGGGATACTAGGTTATCTCGATGATGCCATGGCCTCCCTTGAAGACCCATTGACTAATCTCCACCGAGACAAATTTTAATAAAACTAGCTTTTCCCCCAATTGAGAGACCCAAATCTCGCTAGCTTTACCCCATCCAGTTTGCCCATTACCTAGTCGATGACAGGGATGGTAATTTCCAGATGAACTAGCCTACCAAACTGTTGACCCATCGCTTTGCTCCCGCCTCCACTACTTCGCCCGGAATTCTGAGTGGCCCATTCACATACTCAGACTTGTAATAGTCAAGCTTACTGTCCGGTGAAATTACAAAAAGCGACACCCATGCAGCTGATATGTGGCAGCATATCTTTAGTACACACTCGAAGAAGAGTTTCTCCTGGAAGTATGAACTTGAGTTAGAGATTGGTCATTTGGATCAAGGAGATCGCGATATACGTAAGTATTATCTAGAAAGCTTACATCTATGGACTGAAGCTGAAGCGTTATTTGCTTCTCAAGTCTCGAGGGCTGATTCGACAGTTGTTCTTTAGGAGCGCAGTCGCACTCAAGTTATGCAGTTCTTATCCAAAATTCGTCTGGAGTTTGAACCTATATGGGCGTCTCTGATACACCGCAAGATTACATCCATTCAAGACATTTTGGGAGGACTCATTAGGGAGGAGACTATGCTCAAGAGTCAGTCTCAAATTGATCACTCGAGCAGTGCGTATGAATTTGATTTTGTTGTTGGCCGCCCCGGTTCATCGTCACGTTCACAATTCAATCGCCCGTCCGAATTTGGTGATATTCATTGTCCCTTTTATCGTGAATCTAGTCATTTTCAAATCCATTGTAATAAGCACAATTTATGTAATTATTATAAGAAATCGGGTCATATTATTCTTAATTGCCACACACTGAGCCGTTGGGAAAGCTACATCCTTAGTCTGAGAATGGTTATTCCTCTCTTTCGACTGCCTACTCTGTGGGAGATTTGGCTGCTAGTTATGATGGTGGGTCGCAGGGCGGTGAGCAGTCTAAGGGGAGTTTGGGCACGTTGGCTAGCTTTTTTCCTGCATTGATTCGGCCGCTTGTGTAAGAAGCTCTTCATGACGTCCTTTCTATGGCTTTAAACTCAGCTTTTGCCACTGGTGCTGCCTCGGTTAAGTCTTTACGTTGGCTTGTTGATTCAACGCCATTCAATAATATGAATCCTACTCGTTCTACATTTGCTTATGTTCGTCCTTCCCCGGGTACAAGTGGACAATGGGGCTCAGTTTCCCATTCATGGCCAAGGCACCTCTTTGACTAGCTTAGTCACTCTTCCTAAGATGCTATATGTTCCTCGATTAATGCCTACATTGTTTCTATTGGTCAGTTAGCGGAGGATGGATGTGAGGTCCCTTTAAATTTTAGTGATTGCCTTGTGCAGGATCAGATGACGGGGAGGGTTCTCGGGAAAGGAAGTAAGTACGGTCGCGTCTTTGTGTTGGACAAGTTGGGGGCAACACTTGTCAAACAGTCAGCTCGTTCAAGTTGCTGCCATGATGTCTCAGATAGAGATGGTACCAGGCTGGGCGTGAATAATTGTGGGTCTTGTTCTACAATAGAGAAAGTGGAAGAGGATATTTCTCATGGTTATTTGGCTTGTAAGGGTCTGGTAGAATCAGTTAGGGCATCGGGTTACTCTCAGTCTGCCTCCTGTTTGCATGCAGTATTACATACACTACAACAATTTTCGGTTATTATGACAAAAAAAAATTTGTCATATTTATTTTGTCACAATAAATCCTCTAATATGATAAATAACGAGTTTGTCACAACTTATTTGTCAGTTATGACAAGTAGTAACGTTGTCATAATATTTTGTCACATTAAGTACATATTATGATAAGTGATAACTGTGTCATAATACTTTGTCACATTAAGTTTATATTATGACAAAACTAATATGTCAATAACATTTTGTCACAATATGCCTAGCATGAAGGGAGGACATGAATTATTAAGTGACTAAATATTCGTAATAATATAGTTTGTCACATTATCTACCGTATCTAATTTATGATGACAAATACTTTTGTCATAATAGTAAAAATGGACATCTAATAGGATTATGTTCACTTGGTCACTAAGAATGTGATTCATTATAGATTGGCGGGAAATTATGGAGTGAAAAATGAAATGTTTAATGTGACAAATGATTAGTTTGTAAAAATATATAAATGTTTATTTGTTATATGACAAAATGTTTTGTCATAGAAATTTAGTAACATACATATATTATGAAAAAATAGATTTTGTTACAATAGACTAGATTGCCTATATTGGTAGGCGGGAACTTGTGCAAGAAACATAAAATGTAATATGACAAACTATATGGTGTCACAATAATTCATAACACATTTTAATTAGCCAAAATATGAATTGGCGGGAACTTATATGAGAAAGATTAAATGTATTGCACGTTTGTCACAATGTATGTTGGTTGATATGTATGCTAACAACGAGTTTGTCATAATTAATGTCAAGTATACATTTCATATGACAAAAACCCTAAACCCTAACAAAAACCCTCAATGATAAATTCTAAACTATAAGCCCAAATCGTTAACACTTGAAACAATCTGCATACCTAAATTCTAAACTTTAGAATATAAATTTTAAATGATGAAGGCAAAATGTAAGCCTTAGATCATGAAACTCATATTGTATTTGTGCAATGGTCGACTAATTCCTAACACATAAGTCCTATTATTTGTCATTGTTAGAACATTGGAAAAACAATTTGTTTTCTTGTCACTTTAAGTAATTCGAGTCTTTCCCAAAAACACATAAAACGAGAACATAAACCTCGTTTATCATTGGTTGATTTTGCTCCGTTGCCGCTCCCAACCTCTATCCCTTCTACTCCCAAAAGTAAGTATAAGCTATAATTTTTTGCTGCTATGACCTGAAGAGTGACTATCTGCCGACGACTGGAAGTCACGGGGGTGCACGGTGAATGTGATAATACACTTTTGATGATCTTATTATCTACTATTTATAATATAATATATTTCTCCTAATATTTATTGTTACTTTTTTATTTTCATTTTTATTTTATTTTATTATACCTAGTAGCCTTTTGGTACGCGCGTTGGGGATTATTTCCTCAATTCCTTTCCACGCGCAGTAGTATTTCCCTTCCCTCCCAACTTTAGGTTTCGGACTGAGAAAAACCAATCGACAACCCCCAATTGATCTCCTAGAATACTTGGTACGAAAGAGAGAGCGAGAAGCGTTGGGTTCCCTTCAAGTAAGCAATTGAACTTCTTCAATCTGCCTCTTCTCCTGCAATTAAACATTTCTTCTTGTGCTATTGTGATTGATTCGCGCTCTTGCATCTACCTCTGCTCCCAGAGTCTTTAATCCGCCCCTTCTACCCCAACTAGATGTTTATGGTTATGTGCTTGCGATTGATTCCTTCTTGCATGTGGGAACGTTCACTACTACCTTCCATTTTGTTGCTCAGTCCACTCAAGATGCTTCTTTTCTGCACTTTTTACATGTTAGCATAATAGGTCTGAGTTGTTCTGGTTTCATATTGTTTTTGAATGTGAAAAACCGATTTTAGTATTATAGGGTGCCTCATCTATTTGATATTGTATTTACTGGAAGGTCTATGTTTCCTGAAACCTGAAAAATATAATCTTTCTTGAGCTTTAGAAGAGTCTCGACTGAGGGCAAATTGTAATGTGTTGGCTTCTTCATTGGTATGAAGAGAAAAGAAAAGAATTGGATTTTCACAAGACTGTTGGTTTTTAACAGTTCTTCCCATGTTATGTATTTATTATATCAAGAATTTGGGAGTTAACTCTCATGTTGGTCTCTGGATTCACTCCTAGTATTTGGGTTTGGATGGCAATTTGTGGTCCATTGTAGGATTTGGCAGCCTAGCAATAGATGTTGTCATTTATATTGGTTGTTGGATGCATGCTGATGGCTAGCTACTGTGTTTACCTTGTTGGTTATAACCGATCAGAACTCGATACTCATTACCGATGCTTGTAGAATGGTTTTATATGTTTGTGGGTATATCCTTTACTTTGTTCTTAAATCATAGTGGACTTACTTTGATCCTTTGCTTGGTTAGGCTGTCGTTTTTTCACTCTGTTTTTGCAGGCTGTTTCTTTCTGATTATGGCCCCTTTGCTTTGTAAACCTTTTGTCATTTGTGAATGACTTTCTTACAGACCTTATTTCATTTTGCAGGTTGGTTTCACATTCTTTGGTTGAGATTTGAGAAGCATCTTGCACTTAAGGAACTTCAGCAAGTGAAGGTTAGTCCAATTCAAGTGCAAAGTCAGAATGAATAGAAATTGGTTAAAGTTAAAGGATCGATTCTGTGCTGACTATATGAATGGTGTGGAACAATTTTTAACGGCTGCAAGTACTTGTGTCGATGGGCATGGTAGATTTAGGTGTCCACGCAAAAAAATGCAATAATTATTGCTTTAAGAATATACAACTAGTGAAGAGTGATATATTCTTAAATGGAATGGTTGAAGATTACACGACATGGATACATCATGGGGAGCCATTTGATTTTGGTAGTAGCAGTGGTACAAACCAATCTTCTCATGCTGGTGAGAATGATGGTTTTGGTAATGATATGTATTCCATGTTAGAGGATTTGGGTAGAGCTTCATCCGCTCAGTTTCGTACAACAGAGGCTGAACCTGATAATGATGCTACAAGTGAAGTGAATATGGACCCGAAATTAGCTAGACTAGCGAATGAGGCTAGCTGCCCACTTTTTCCTGGGTGTAAAAACTATTCAAAGTTGTCGTTCATCATGAAAATGATGAACAACAAACAAATAACAAATAGTAGTGACAAATCTTTCAACTTGAATTTGGAGTTATTCAAGAATGCTTTACCAAATGGTGAATCTTTGCCAAATTCATTTTATGAAGTGAAGAGGTATATTCAAGACCTTGGGTTTGGTTATACCATCATAGATGCATGCCTGATAACGATGTAATTGCACATATTTGCGCCCCTGGTTCTTATCCGTTTGAGGGGCATAGTCGTGTATTTTTTGCCTATTTTACGTCGGGTTGTGCTATTTTGTCATATTTCAGGTCCCAGGCGTCAAAGGAAAGGCTAAGCACGAGTTTCGGGGCATTCGGAAGCCATTCGGTGGAGCTGGAGCCAAAACACGGGCACACCTAAAACAGAACACGGCCGTGTTCTGTGGCCGTGCTTTTACTGCCGAGAGCTAATTCGAGTTTGGCAAACATGAGCTGATTACACGGGCAGGGCCGAGACAAAGCACGGCCGTGTCCACCAAAGCATGGCCGTGTCCACCCAAAAGCACGGCCGTGTTTCTCCCAACAGGCTGGCCGTGTAATTAACCCTAGCCAAAACACGGGCGGGCTGAGGCAAAGCACGGTCGTGCCCTCGACCGTGCTTTGGCCACTGATGCCCTTTTAAGCAGATTTCAGCCAAAACAGAAGGGGATTCGAGTTTTAGAGAGATAGAGCGATTCCTAGAGAGTGAAAGCGACGAACAAGAGTCTCCAAGTGCCCTAGCTTGATCTCCAACACCATTGGAGGCCAGCTTGAGCTTGGAGAAGTGCCAATCAACGTCCAGGAGCAGGAATCCATCCTTCACAATATGAATTCCGCGTCTGATTCTGCTTTTGCTTCTTTCTCCATGGAGTAGTTTTCCCATTCATCTTGGTATGGAGAACCCTAGATTTGTATGTTAGGTTTGATTGTATGAACCCAAGTACTGATTCTATGATTTGATTATATTCGATTGAGGTTTGAATGATTGAATGGCATGAATCCTGATCAAATTCCTGTTGTTTCTGCTTTAACCTAGAATGAGAATATCTGCCTAGGTTGATAGAGCATCCTTGATTGAAGGTAGGGAGTTGGTGACTTTAGTCGAGGAGCCAACTCACTATTCTGTACCGAATTCACTTCGGTAGTGGAGGTTTTGTTCATAGGGCCTCAATCTGTTTACTCCGGTGGAGGTTAGTCGCCCGCTAGAGACTCAGATTGAGAGGGTCTGAAGACCTTTAGTCGAGACTTCAGGCTGTTTAAGAACCTTCTGCAGTATAACTATCATAGAAACTGAACTTGGTAATTACATTCCGGCTTAACTGCAGTCTAGGGGGAACCATATCCGGGTGACCTCTCTTAACCTTAATACAACCACTTACTTGCTTTGTTAGTTTGTTAGTTTAGACTTGCATTAAAGTTTCATTGCTAGATAACAAGAATTCACCGAGTAGTCATCAAATCTAGGACCCGGGTTGACATTTAAACCCAAACCCGCTATACTACGCTTTAGGAAGTGGTTTCACTTGGCCAATTCCTGGAGTGACAGTAGAAGTGAGTCAAGTTTTTGGCGCCGTTGCCGCGGACGGCTAGGTTGTTAAAGAAAAGTGATTTCTGTTAATTTAGCTTTTCTTTTCGCAGTGTTTGCTGTGTCCCACTTGTGCCTTCACGGGTTTGCTTGCTTGAGTGTGTGCAGGTAGTGCATGACCCGTAGCCAGTTAGGAGGTTTACTGCTGTTGAATCCACAGATTGACCGCACGTGTCGCCAACTCAGGAGACAACAGCAAGCTAGACTGGCTACGGAAGAGCAAATAGACGGCCACTTGAGCAGCGATTCCGAGGAAGAGTACTGGATGGACGGAGATTACAATCAACACCAGGGGAATCCTCAGCAGGCTCCCCCGGTGAATCAGGTCCTGGGGAACAACCCCATACCCCAGGATCATGGGGTTCATCATCCACCGCCGCCGGGTCCCACCTTGGAGTACTACTACACTCCATAGATTGCTGACATTCGCCCGGTCATCCTCTATCCGCCTATTCCAGCAAACAACTTCGAGATCAAGCCATGCTGGATTCAGCTCATTACATCCTCTATCCAGTTCCATGGCTTGAAGGATGAGGAGGCCAGGGTGCATCTTTCCCGTTTTCTGCAGCTGACGAACGGGTTCAAGCTGAATGGTGTCCCTGATGATGCAATCCGCCTTCACCTTTTCCCCCATTCTCTGGCGAGGAATGCTAAGAGGTGGTTGGAGACCCAGCCCCCTTTGTCCATCACCTCTTGGGACGATCTGGCTGACAAATTCGTGCACAGGTACTATCCGGCATCGAAGACTACAGAGATCCAGCGGGAGATCACTCACTTCCGCCAAGAGCCAGATGAGTCACTTCGTGATGCTTGGGAGCGGTACATGGGCTATTTCTGGCAGTGTCCCCATCATGGCTTTAGTGATGCATTCATAGTGGGGAACTTCTACAGTGCTCTCTCTCCAGATAGCCAGAGGGTGATTGAGTCTCTATGCCCAGGAGGGGATATTCTTACTAAGACTCCACCCGAGCTGAACCAGATGATCAATACCTTGGCTGCCAAAGATCATTCTTGGGGACAGAGTAGCAGAGGCAGACATTCCCGGGACCGTGGTGTGCACGCCATGGAGACCAGATCCGGGCTCGAGCAGCAGGTAGCTGAGCTAGTGCAGACATTGAAGCAGCCCAACAGTCTTATTCCGGGCAGAGGTTTGGCTACACCTCCAGTAGCTGAATGTCAGTGGTGTGAGAGCTCGAATCACTTAGTGGAAGACTGCCAGGCTATGAGGGAGTCTACTACTCCCCAAGAGCAGTTGGACTTCATCGCCAATGCTCGGCGCCTCGACCCATACAACAATACATATAATGAGGGGTGGCGCCAGCATCCCAACTTCTCTTGGGGCAGTAACACCACTAAGCCACCTGGTTTTCCAGCACCAGCTGGTGGCTATCAGCAGAGGCAGCCCTTCCAGGCTCGACAAGGGCCAGCCCCACAGCAGCAGCCCTACCAGCCTAGGCAGGGGCAACCATTCCAGCAGCCCCAGCGCCAGTTTGCCGAGCCAGCAGCAGCTCCAGCTCCTGATACTCAGATGACGAAGCTGGAAAATATTCTGGCTTCATTCATGACTAGCACTCAGGCAACTATCACGAGGTTGGACCAGAGCGTAGCCTCACTGGAGGCAGGTCAGAGGAACCAGGGTGCCATCTTGCAAGATCTGCAGAACCAGGTGGGTATCTTGGCCCGCCAGAACACCACCAGGGCACCGGGGACTCTGCCTGCCACCACTGTTCCAAATCCTCGTGATCCTCACCAGCACCAGCAGCTTGATACCATCACTACCAGGAGTGGCAAGACCACATCAGCTGCTCCTGCCCAGCCCAGTCGAGATGAGCCACTACCTGCTTCGACACTTCCAACTGATACTGCAGAAGTGGGGGAAGACACAACAACGCCTGCTCCCAAGCCACAGCCAATGGTTAAGGAGCATGTACCTCAGCTTCCTTTCCCCACTCGCCTGCATAAAGACAAGCTGGAGACTGAGTTTGCCAAGTTCATGGCAATGTTGAAGCAGGTCAACATCAGCATGTCATTCGTGGAGGCACTGTCAAAGATGCCCAAGTATGCCAAGTTCATGAAGGACCTCCTCGCCAACAAGAAGAAACTTGGGGATCTTTCGACAGTGATGCTGAGCGAGGAGTGTTCTGCCATCCTGCAGAACAAGCTGCCCGAGAAGCGAAAAGACCCAGGGAGTTTCACTATCCCTCTTGTTATTGGCAGCATGCATGTAGGAAAGTCCTTGGCGGATCTAGGCGCTAGCATAAATGTCATGCCTTATAATTTGTTTAAGAAGCTAGGCCTAGGTGAACCTAGAACTACTAGGATGAGCATTCAGTTAGCTGATCGTTCTATCGTGCATCCTAGGGGTATCATTGAGGACTTGCTTGTTAATGTGAGTGCATTCACATATCCTGTTGACTTTGTTATTTTGGATATAAATGAGGATGTGGATGTACCTTTGATTTTAGGTAGACCGTTTCTCGCCACCGCCAAAGCGCTTATTGATGTGCATAGTGGTAAATTGATTATGCGTGCTGGTGATGAACAGGCTACCTTTTCTGTGTCTGAGAATGGGAAACACTCTCATTTGCTTGATGACATAGATTACTGTGATATGCTTGCTGATTTTGAGACCGCACTCGCTATAACGAGTGCGGGTACTGACGATGTTCTTGAGCGTTGTATTTTGCTAGGTGAGTAGGCATCGCAGGAGCCGCAGCTGGCGGAGCAGTTGGCCGAGTTGGAGAGTGTCCCCTTCTTGGAGGGCGACAGGCTGTTCAAACCGATCTCATCCTCCACCCGCATCGCTACTTCCTTGGAGGAACCACCAGAGCTGGAGCTTAAGCCCCTCCCTCCTCATTTGGAGTATGCATTTCTCCGGGAGGGGAATAAGCTGCCAGTCATCATCAGCTCGACCCTCACACCCGAGCAGAAGACCAGCCTGGTGACCTTGCTGATGCGGTACGAGCGAGCTCTCGCATGGAAGATCACAGACATCCGGGGGATCAGCCCGTCTTTCTACTCCCACCGGATACTGATGGAGGATGAGATGCGGCCAGTGAGACAGCCGCAGAGAAGACTGACACCGAACCTGGAGGCTGTGGTTCGGGCAGAGATCGTGAAGCTGCTGGACGCGGGGATCATCTTCGCCATTTCCGACAGCGAGTGGGTCAGTCCCACCCAGGTGGTATCCAAAAAGGGTGGGATGACTGTGGTGCCTAACGAGAAGAATGAGCTGATCCCGATGCGCACGGTGACTGGGTACCGTATCTGCATTGATTACCGGCGTCTCAACGACGCCACTCGGAAGGACCACTTCCCGTTACCATTCATTGATCAGATGCTGGACAGACTGGCGGGGCACGAGTTCTACTGTTTCCTGGATGGGATGTCCGGGTACTTCCAGATCCCTATTGCACCGGAGGACCAGGCGAAGACCACTTTCACCTGCCCCTTCGGCACTTTTGCCTACCAGAGGATCCCATTCGGGCTATGCAATGCCCCGGCCACTTTTGAGCGATGCATGCTCGCAATCTTTGACCGTCTGGTCAGCGAGATTATGGAGGTGTTTATGGACGTTTTCTCGGTTTATGGAGACTCATTCTCTCACTATCTCCATAACCTGGAGCTTGTCCTTAAACGGTGTGAAGAAACGAACCTGGCACTGAGTTGTGAGAAGTGTCACTTCATGGTTCGAGAAGGCATAGTTCTTGGGCATAAGATCTCCAAGATGGGGATTGAGGTGGACAGAGCGAAGATCGAGACTATCAGCAAGCTGCCTCCTCCTACATCTGTTAAGGAGATCCGGAGTTTTCTTGGTCATGCAGGGTTCTACAGGCGATTCATCAAGGACTTCTCAAAGATTGCTCTGCCCCTGACTAAGCTTCTAGAGAAGGATGCCCCCTTCCAGTTCACTGATGCATGCACAGCTGCTTTCACGACCTTGAAGGAGAAGCTCGCACAAGCTCCTATCATGGTTGTTCCGACCTGAAGTACTATTTCAGGGATGACCCTCATCTCTTCAGGATCGGAGCCGACGGTCTCATCCGCCGATGTGTTATGGAGAGTGAGATGGAGGGCATTCTATCTCACTGTCATGAAGGACCTGCTGGCGGTCACCACGGAGGGAACCGCACGGCGAGGAAGGTGCTCAAATCGGGCTTCTACTGGCCCACGCTCTTCAAGGATGCAGACGCCTTCGCACGCAGGTGCGACCGATGCCAGAGGTTAGGTAACATCTCTGCCCGTGATGAGATGCCCCAGAATGTGTTTATAACTTGTGAGATTTTTGATGTCTGGGGTATCGACTTCCTCGGCCCCTTCCCTCCATCTTTTGGTAATACATATATCCTTGTTGCTGTTGACTAAGTCTCTAGGTGGGCTGAGGCGCAAGCTTTGCCCACTAATGATGCTAGACGTGTTTGTGGTTTTCTGAAGCAGCTATTCTCCCGGTTCGGGACACCTAGAGCCATCATAAGCGACCGAGGCACCCATTTCCAGGGTCAGTTCGATAAATTGTTGTCTCGCTATGGTGTAACTCATAAGGTGTCCGTGGCCTACCATCCTCAAACCAGTGGCCAGGCCGAGCTGACGAACCGGGAGCTCAAGCGGATCTTGGAGAAGACAGTGAACCTATCCCGCAAGGATTGGTCCACCAAGCTCGATGATGCTCTATGGGCATATCGCACTGCCTACAAGACGCCCATTGGTACCTCACCATACCGGCTTGTCTATGGAAAGGCATGCCATTTGCTCGTGGAGCTAGAGCACAAGGCCTTCTGGGCCCTTAAGCTGCTAAACTTGGATGTTAGTGTTGCAGGTGTTGAGCGAAAAATGCAGATGTTGGAGCTGGAAGAGTGTCGTTATCACGCCTATGATAACACCAAGCTGTACAAGGAGCGCACTAAGCGCCTGCACGATGCAGGTTTGCGGGGTCCGAAAGAGTTCAAGGTTGGTGATCGAGTTCTCCTTTATAACTCTCGCCTGAAGCTCTTTTCCGGAAAACTCCGTTCCCGGTGGTCTGGACCGTACACGGTCACACAGGTGTTCCCGTATGGCACGATTGAAATTGCTAACCTGCAAACTGAGCCGTTAAAGTGAATGGCCATCGTCTCAAGCTCTACCTGGGAGACGAGGTCGAACGTGCGGAGTTAGCAGTGGAGCTCGCGGACCCTTAGTTCCGCAATTGGCGTCCAGCTAAAAGACGGTAAAGAAGCGCTTGTGGGGAGGCAACCCCACCACGGTTTGCATTTCTACTCTTTGTTTTTATTTATTTACTTCATTTTTGTCGGTTTTTAAGTCTTTGAGTATGTCTGGAGTCAGTCTGGAAAGTTTTTCGTCCCTCGGGCGGTTCTTTTTAATGTGTGATTGGGTAAATTTTAGAGCCGGGGCACGAATGAATCTTGGTGGGTTGAGATTGAAAATTGAAAAAAGGCATTTTAGGCTCGGCAGTAAAAACACGGGCAGCAAGGGGCCAAAACACGGCCGTGTTTTGCCCTGCCCCGCCCGTGTTTTGCCTTTTGGCCTCGGCTTAAAAAGCACGGGCACGGGCCCTTCGAAAACGCGGCCGTGTTTTGGAAGGAGCCCGCCCGTGTTTTAATAAGGGAGCAATTCGCCCTCGGCAGTGAATACACGGGCGCGGAGCAGGCAGAACACGGCCGTAGTCTGCCCCGCCCGTGTTTCGCCCCCCCCCCCTATAAAATCGATTTTTCCGCCCCAAACCCTTCAGATCAGTTTTTTTTCAAATTTCTCAGCCCCCTCTCGCCGGAAACTCGGCCACTTCACATTCTCTGTCGATTTTCCGGCCATAACTTCCTCTCCCGACTTCCAAATCACAAACCGCGAACGCCCCCACGCTCCTGGCGTCGAGGAGCACATTCCCCAAAGATTTGGGCTGGTTTGGCCGAGGTTGGGTCGCCGGTGGTGAGTTTTCCGGCGAGTCTCCGGTGTGTTTTCCGGCGAGTTTGGGTGCCTTTTTCCACTTTCTTCACCTCTCTCGTGGTCTCTCCTTGCGTCTCCAGGTGTGTTCTCCTCGTCTTTTCTTTTATTTATGGAGAATCGATTCCTAGAGTTAGGTGAAAAACTTTTGATTGTGGAATGGTTTGGGGACATTTGGGTTTGGGGGATGATTGGGATGATTGCATGTTGCATTGTATGCGGGCTAGTGTGGTTTTTGTGTGGTGGATCGATTGGTGCTTATCTCGTATGATGGGTATGTTTGTGTCGCCGGGAGTCTAGTCCACTGTCCATATATTTCGATATGAGGGCTCCCGGTGTGGGTTTGGCCTAACATTGACCCCGTTTGCTTGTGTACACTTTGTCCTTCATTGTGTTTTGTAGGATCATGGAGGTTTATCTCGACCAGATGAACATCGTCCAGCGCCATAAGCTGCGGAACCTCCGTAACCGCAGCATCGCCGAGCACTATCACCTCGATTGGGAGGTGTTCGAGGAGCTTCATGCCAGGCCACAGATGGAGGCCGTGGTCCGCTCCTATGGTTGGCGGCGTCTTCTCGCCCTCGCCGAGCCGACCTACAAGGAGCTAGTCTGGGAGTTCTACGCAACCTTCCACCACAACTCGAAGGGGAACTCCGACCATGCTGATGCAGTTCAGTTCACCCTCGGCGGGGTGGAGCACTCCCTCAGTTACTGGGAGTTCGCCAATGCACTTCGTCTCAATTTCCGGGCAGCAGGCGGGCCTCCTCTCCGCTTGGATCTCTCTGATCCCACAGACTTCGCTTCCCAGGCGTACTTTCAGAGCATCTGCCTGCCGAACAGTGTGGATGAAGAGTACGTGGCCAGCCAGACGCGGGCTTCTCTCCTCCGTCCGGAGTGGCGGATCCTCAACCACTTGATGTGCACTTCTTACACACCCAGCAAGGGCTCGTCCAACCGGGTCACACTCCGGACACTCTGGTTGATGCATGCGATGGGACGTTCTGAGGACACCATCCAGCTGGGTTTTGTGGTTGCCCGGACGTTCACTAAAGCCGCAATCAGCACGACTCGCAGCCTCGTTTGTGGCCCGGTGATCACCGCCTTGGCCCGCACCTATGGGGTGGACTACATAGGGGTGACATTGGTCCGCGGGCCAACCCCACTCGGCGAGGCTACTCTCCGCCACCAGCACTGGGTTGCTCGCCACGGGCGTGTGCGCTGGATCGCGGGCCTTCCTCAGCCACCTATACCTGCAAAGGGCGACCAGGCCGAGTCGAGCGCCGCTGGTGGGCGCCGAGTTCCCCGTCGCGTTCGCCGTCGTGACCAGGCTCCCGCGAGCCCCTCTCCTGCTCCCCGGTCTCCTTCTCCAGGGTCAACTCCTCCAGTGGTGGTGCCCATCTCCGACCAGTTGGCGGCGATCGCTCAGCAAAATGAGCGCCTCCTGGACGGCTAGGAGCGCATCCACACCCGCCTTGATCGTGAGCGGGACCGAGGACGTTGTCACATGTCGGGGAAGCACTACATCATGTCCTACTTGGGCTTGGACCCGAACGCGGTCCACTACCCGTTCGTGCACTCCCCAGGGTTTGAGGATGAGTACCCTCCACCCACTGGCGATGGTGGTGATGCCTTCTAGAGCGGGTTTTGTGCTTTATTTGTTTTCCAGACTGAGACTCCGTGTTTTGTGGTTTCGTTTTGTTTTGTTTTTTTATCTTGGATTGTAGACTTGGTACTCTGATTTCTATCACCCAGTGTGTGTGTTTTTGTTGTCTCTAGCTCTGTGCCTCCTTCTTTTGACTAGTCCGCCATCCAGTCAACGTTCGTGACCACTATTTCACGGTAACATCATTCCCTTTCCCTCTGCTCCATTGAGGACATTGTCGCGTTTAATGTGGGGGGGGGGGGGGTTCTTTGTATGAATCGGAACGTATATATGTGTGCTTGGAGCCTAGTCCACTGTCCAAATCTTGAGATTTGAGGGCTCCAAGCACGGCTGTTTGCTTGATGATTGATCGTATTGGCACTGTGGGTGTGATTAGTGAATTGAATGGCTTTTGACTTGATACATGACAACTTGAGTGTGACTTAGACAACTTATTGTGATGACTGAGATGTGCGGTAGAATTGTGTAGGGGTTCAGTTTTTCAACTGTCTGCTCACCAAATGTGACTTGGGTTGATTGATCACTTGCTTTTAACAGTCATTTATGCATCTAGTTCAGTGAATCAGAACGAGAGATAGAGCATATAGGTAGCCATGTGAGATTTGAGCCTGCTCGTTTCTTTCTTGTGTGATAGTTTCCTCTTCCATGATGTGCAGCATTCACGTTGTCATTAGCTAAGATGATGAGGCCTAGGATTAGCCCACGACCAAATTGACTGTCCTGGTGTGTCATACCCCTAGTCAGCCCCTTTGAGCCGTGTGTTTTCCTTTCTTTCGGTCTTCAATGAAAAGTCACCCTTTTGCATCTTCTAGAAGGTTCCACAGAGTGATTTTTACATGTTCTCTGCTGTTTCTGCTAAACATAATGTGAGGGTTGGAGGTAGTGCTTAAAAGTCGGGCAGGTGTTTGAAAATGTGCAGAGGCGGTGGTTCTCTTATGAAATGAAAAATAATGAAAGAAAAATAAAGAAAAAAATGAAAGCAAAAGAGAGCCACCACCAAAAATCTGAATAATGCCCATGTAGTAGTGTTTCTTAGCAGTCTGGCTTAGAAATACTAGCATTTATGTAACCTCCTTCGCTCTTGTGCTCTGAACTTGAGTAATGCAGAATAGTAGAAAGAAAGTTATTGGTTTGATTGATTGTGAGTCTGTTGGGTTTGGAAATGTGGAACCTTGTGTTGTATGAATACTTCCACCACCTAAAAGGCCTTTTCCCCATGTCCAAGACCCTAGCCAATCATCTGAACCTGTGTCTAAGACCTCCGGATTAGTTAGTGATGACACCCCATATGTAAACTCTAGCACTTAGAGGCTGCATTCATGGTGAAGAGATGTTAGGGAATGAGAGATTAAGCATGCGCATTTTTCGCATCATATTGTTCTGACCCCACTGGTCGAGAGTGAGCGATTCATTTTCTCTTATTCTCTATCCGGTGAGGACCTAGATTGCTCGGTCTTAATTCTGATATCTTGAACTTTGTGCATGACGTGACTGTTTTGAACAAGTGGTTGAGTCAAGTCTATGTTGGTGGGTGAACAGAAGGGAGACTCTTCCTTTGCTCGATTTTACTACATTCGAATGTCATCTGTGGTGGTTGTCTAGGTTGTCATTCAAGTTGTCCATGTTTTACTGATCGAAAGCCAGTATGATCCACGTGTTTTGTGCCGACATGACATGCCTTGTTGTTGAGCTTATCTTGTGTCTGACTTGGTTTGCTTGGGGACAAGCAAACGGTTAAGTGTGGGGGAATTTGATAACGATGTAATTGCACATATTTGCGCCCCTAGTTCTTATCCGTTTGAGGGGCATAGTCATGTATTTTTGGCCTATTTTACGCCGGGTTGTGCTATTTTGTCATATTTCAGGTCCCAGGCGTCAAAGGAAAGGCTAAGCACGAGTTTCGGGGCATTCGGAAGTCATTCGGTGGAGCTGGAGCCAAAACACGGGCACACCTAAAACAGAACACGGTCGTGTTCTGTGGCCGTGCTTTTACTGCCAAGAGCTAATTCGAGTTTGGCAAACATGAGCTGATTACACGGGCAGGGCCGAGACAAAGCACTGCCGTGTCCACCAAAGCACGGCCGTGTTTCTCCCAACAGGCTGGCCATGTAATTAACCCTAGCCAAAACACGGGCGGGCTGAGGCAAAGCACGGCCGTGCCCTCGACCGTGCTTTGGCCACTGATGCCCTTTTAAGCAGATTTCAGCCAAAACAGAAGGGGATTCGAGTTTTAGAGAGACAGAGCGATTCCTAGAGAGAGAAAGCGACGAACAAGAGTCTCCAAGTGCCCTAGCTTGATCTTCAACACCATTGGAGGCCAGCTTGAGCTTGGAGAAGTGCCAATCAACGTCCAGGAGCAGGAATCCATCCTTCATAGTATGAATTCCGCATCTGATTCTGCTTTTGCTTCTTTCTCCATGGAGTAGTTCTCCCATTCATCTTGGTATGGAGAACCCTAGATTTGTATGTTAGGTTTGATTGTATGAACCCAAGTACTGATTCTATGATTTGATTATATTCGATTGAGGTTTGAATGGCATGAATCCTGATCAAATTCCTGTTGTTTCTGCTTTAACCTAGAATGAGAATATCTGCCTAGGTTGATAGAGCATCCTTGATTGAAGGTAGGGAGTTGGTGACTTTAGTCGAGGAGCCAACTCACTATTCTGTACCGAATTCACTTCGGTAGTGGAGGTTTTGTTCATAGGGCCTCAATCTGTTTACTCCGGTGGAGGTTAGTCGCCCGCTAGAGACTCAGATTGAGAGGGTCTGAAGACCTTTAGTCGAGACTTCAGGCTGTTTAAGAACCTTCCGCAGTATAACTATCATAGAAACTGAACTTGGTAATTACATTCCGGCTTAACTGCAATCTAGGGGGAACCATATCCGGGTGACCTCTCTTAACCTGAATACAACCGTTTACTTGCTTTGTTAGTTTGTTAGTTTATACTTGCATTAAAGTTTCATTGCTAGATAACAAGAATTCACTGAGTAGTCATCAAATCTAGGACCCGGGTTGACATTTAAACCCAAACCCGCTATACTACGCTTTAGGAAGTGGTTTCACTTGGCCAATTTCTGGAGTGACAGTAGAAGTGAGTCAATGCCCTGATAATTGTGTCTTATTTCGAGGTCCTCTTCAGAATGAAAAATATTGTCCAGAGTGTCAAAAACCTAGGTATAAACCCAGCAAAGAGAAGGAGGTTGCCATTAAAAAAGTTAGGTACTTTCCTATAAAAGATAGACTACGAAGGTTGTTTATGACAAAAGATACTGTCAAAGATATGAGGTGGCACAAAGAAAAACGTCTGGATGACGATGTTCTTAGGCATCCAGCTGATGCAGAAACATGGAAAAACTTTGACAGAAATCATAGTTGGTTTGCTTCCGACCCTAGGAATGTCCGACTTGATCTTTTCAGTGATGGTTTCAATCCATTTGGGATGAGCTCTAATTATAGCATGTGGCATGTAGTTTTAACTCCATACCATTTGCCTCCATGGATGTGTATGAAGGAGTCATTTTTATTTCTTAGCATTCTGATACCTGGGAAGAAATCCCCGGGTAATAAAATTCATGTTTTCTAGAGCCACTCATCGAAGACTTAGAAGAATTGTGGAAAGATGGGGTTACAGCTTTTGATGGATACTCTAATCAGACTTTTAAGCTCCATGCTGCATTATTATGGACCATAGATGACTTTCCCGCATATGGGATGCTGTGTGGGTGGAGTACTAAGGGTAAATTAGCCTGTCCTGTTTGTAATGGTGAGACAGACTTCCTAACATTGAAATATGGAAGAAAAGAATGCTACATGGGTTATCGCAGATGGTTAGACAAAGATCATCAATGGAGGAGAAGCAAGAAATTCAATGGAAAGTCAGATCTTAGAGGAAAGCCTAAACTTTTGTCAGGAGAGGAAATTCTAAATCAAATAAATTTGGCTTTTGCTAATAACATGCCAAATCAGTCTCGCAAAAGGAAAAGGGATTCCACTGATACCCTATCAAAGTGGAAAACAAAAGCTGTATTTTGGAGATTACCTTACTGGAAAACCATAGAACTTAGGCATAACTTAGATGTTATGCACGTTGAGAAGAATATTAGTGAGAATGTGCTGGGAACACTAATGAATATTGAGGGGAAAACCAAAGATACACTTAAAGCTCGGTTGGATTTAGAGATCTCGGGTATTCGAAAGGAGTTACATGTGAAGAGAGATGGTGAAAAGGCTTCTTTGCCCCAAGCTTGTTACACATTAACTGTACCACAACAGAAGCAATTGTGTGACTGGTTGCAAAGTATCAAGTTCCCTGATGCTTATGCTTCCAACATTTCTCGGTGTGTAACTAGAGATGGTAAGTCAGTTTCTGGAATGAAAAGCCACGACCACCACGTCTTCTTACAAAGATTATTACCAGTTGTGGCACAAGGGTTATTGCAAAAAGAGATGTACACAGTTCTGGCAGAATTAAGTGTCTTTTTGAGAGAGCTATGTGCTAAAACAATAACTAAGTCAACTGTGAAAAAATTGCAAACAATGATAGCTCTCATTCTTTGTAAGCTTGAGATGGTATATCCACCATCTTTCTTTGTGTTATGATGCATCTAGCAATTCATCTACCCTATGAGATAGAGTTTGGTAGTCCGGTTCAATACAGGTGGATGTACCCCATGGAAAGGTACCAATTTGCTTAATACATTTTTTATTTCGGTTTCTAATCAATTAGATGATTTAACACAATTAACTTCATTCTTCTATCTTTGGATGTAAAAGGTTCTTAGGTACACTTAAGAACCTTGTTAGCAACAAAGCGTTTCCCGAGGGATCCATTGCTGAAAAATATATAGCAAAAGAATGTTCAGAATTTTGCGCTAGATATCTGGAAGGGGTTGAAACAAGGGCAAATCGTGTCGACAGAAATGACGAAGGGAGTCATGTAGTCGAGTCTGATGGGTTTTCTATTTTTACCAATAAGATTAGACCATTAGGAGGAGCTAAAGATGACACATTAAACCTGCTGAATTCAATAAGCTACAAACATACATACTAAATAATTGCGAAGAGGTCGAAGAGTACTTCAAGTAAGTGTCTGTTTGTTTGTTAAACTTATTCTTTTCGTGTTAATAGCTAATAACTTCTGACACACATGATCCATACATCATCTATTCTGAGGAGATGATGCACCAAAATCCTAACAATTCTTATGAAAGCCTGCAGTCCAACTTTTCAACTTGGTTGAAATCATATGTAAGAATAAGCTTGCTATTCATTTAGAGGAGATGCACTCAATTTGACTATTAAAAGGGTTTTGTAATTTGATGAAAAACATCTAACTTGCTTGCTGTTTTTTGTTTATTTTTTAGATAACAAAAATGTTTTTGTCTGGATCACTTGACAAAAAGAACCATTTATATATCTTAGGGTTGGGTGCTGATAAGAGAATTACTAGATATAGTTGTATGCTTATTAATGGTGTTCGCTACCAAACTAATAAAGCAGACAAGACTCATCGTACCCAGAACAGTGGTGTAGTTGTGGAAGGTGAACACAATGGAGAGAGTATTGACTTTTATGGTGTCGTTACAGACATATTGAAGCTACAATACTGCTATGGAAGTGGTATTCATATGAGCCATATATATTAGCTAGTCAAGCTAGCCAAGTATTTTATATAGATGATATAAAAAAATGGAGGAACTTGGCGGATAGTTCATAAAGTAATTCCTAGGCATATATATGATGTTCCGGAGAGGGAGGATGGGGAAGATGTGGACCCCATTTATGGTACTGAGCCATACCAACAGGATGAAAGCGCTGACCTGAGTTTGATTGACACTGATGAAGAAGACATACAACGGTTGAGTCGTGATGATGAGCCTCCAATTACTCTAAGCAAGGAGGACATACAACTAATGAATGACTTAATTTCCAGCAAAGAGGTTATTGAATCGATGGAAGACATGGTAGGCAGCGAGGAATCTTCGGAGGAGGAAGAGGATAACCTGTTAGATGATCTTGGTGGTCCTTCTGAAGAAAATGAAAATAATACTGTTGAGAGTGAATAAGAGGATGACAACTAACTTTTTTTTTAATTACTTCGGTCTATTGTGGTTTGTTAGCAGATTGCTGATATTGACATTCGATTTTTGTTTCTTTTTGGCCTTACAAGAATACACATAATTCCAATTTTATTTTGTTATAAGACTTTCCCATGGCGTTGGAGATCTGTATAGTTCTTATCTAAGTCTTGTCTTGTTATCTTTTCATTATTGTGAAGTGTATATGTATGCATTTTAGGTCACTTTAGTGCCTTTCAGAAGTTGCAGACTATAGTCAATCTAAGTTTACTTATCATAAATTGAATATTAGGAATTCATGTGTTGTTGTTTTGTTTCTTTCATACAGGTTGGAATTTATCTACCATGTATTTGTGAGCTTTCAAAAAAGTCTCTATTTTGTAGGTATGGCACCAGGTCTAGGTTGTGGACAAAAAAGAAAGGGGAATGCAGTGCGCCCAGCACCTACACAAAGAATGACAAGGAGTTCACAACTCAACACTGCAACTGAAACCAGTGTGAATGATCAAACTTCTGATAGCCCATCTGCGAACTCAGGGGTAAATGAGACACCTGTTGAGAACACAAGCAATGTGGGATCTGCAACTTCATATCCCAATTCATCAGGTAAGCAATCTGATCCTTTTATTGAGCTTTTTAGTAATATCCATATGAACTAATTTAGAGAAATATATTTAGAGAGACCAATTAAGAAAGGATGTGGGAAAGCAAAAGGGCTCGAGGTTACAAAAAGAATAAGAGATGGCAGTAAGATCGGTGGAATTGAAGTTGCACAAGGAGTGAAAAGGATTGTTGGCCGTAATGAGAAAATATTTAAGATGGAGATAGGGGTCATTGTACGTCTGTTGGCTCCTATTGGCAAGTTATACTGGTCAGATATGAGTGAAGAGCTCAAGCAGCCCCTTTTCGCAAAATTGGAGGTAAGATTATTATGAAAATGACTATGGATTACACAATTTGACCAGTGTTCTTCCTTTTAAGTGTTTTCTGCTGGTTTTATGCTTGAGGGCAGATGATTCTGGCCAGTTGTTTTCTTTTGAAGTCTGTTTTGCTGGTTTTGTTCTTTGATTGAATGTACTGCTCTTTTGGTTTGCTTCTACTAATATGTTTTTCATGATTGTAGAGTGAGTTTCAGATTGCTATTGATGATGAAGATACGAGGATAGCTGTGGATTTCTCAATGTCTCGACGATTCATCAACTTTAAACACCATTGTCATCGACATTATGAGGAAAAAGGTGGTGCTGCCAGCGCACGACAGAGCCCTCCTGAACATGTGAAAATGGATGATTGGCTACTATTGTGTGATCATTTTGAAAGTGAACGGTTTAAGGTCACACCCTCTATCAATTCTTTGATCCCTTCTACTCAATTCCAGCCAAAGTTTAAGTACACATTTGCATTACATTGAAGCTAATAGAGGAATTCCCTACTTGATTGTAAACTTTTTTGTTACAGAGGCAAAGTGTAGCTAATAAGCGCAACAAGAGTATGCAAACATATGCTCATACTACAGGTGGTAAATCTTGTAGCCAGCGGATGTATGAAATGGTAAAGTATTGCATGGTGATATTAATTTTATTAGAGCTAGCATCATGCATGTACACACTATTAAATGGTTTTATTTTGACACGTGAGTAGGTGCCTACCGAGCAACCATCCGACCAGCATGCTGATGAGGAGAACAATGATGCGCAAGGTGATGAACTGGAGGTAGAACCCAAAGAGATCAAAGTGTATGCAGACACCCATAAGAGAAGTGATGGAAGTTGGGTGAACCTAGAACCTCAACAAAACTATGTAAGTTCAGTACTAGCTACCTTTCTTTCATGTCTTGCATTTGTACCCTTAGGATGGTAAGAACAGAACACGCGTTGATTTTAATTTTCCTCTACTTTGATTCATTATATTGGAGGAAAGTTGGCTAAATATAGTGGTAATTCATGCATGTAGTGTGTTATTGTTGCAGGAGGAAATGAAAAGACTTCATGCCTAAGCAGTAGAACAAGGGAAACCATTATCTGGTTCTGAAATTGTTTGCATGGTGCTTTTTGAAGCACCAAGTTATGCCACAAAACAGAAACTTAGTTCCAACAGGGAGAAAGAGCTAGAAGCATGTTTGGAAAAGTCTTTGGCTGATGACGAGAGGCAGAGCCAAGACTTTGAAGATCAAATTAACGCCCAGCAACAGCAGATAGAAAACCAGCATGAACAAATAGAAAAGCAGCAACAGGAGATAGCAAGTCAGAAGCATATTATCGAGGATTTGCGCAAGTCACAGGATAATCTGAAGGCATATGTGGAGTCAGAGGTGAAAAAATTGATGGGAGGATCTGTTTAGTTCGAGGTAATAACATTTTCCCTTAGGTTCTCCAATTAAGTTGCATTTCACAGGTTCATTTCATTTGATTTCAGGATTTGAAGCTTTTTCCTCTAGTTCAGTTTTGTTCTTTCTGGAATTTACCTTATGGTTTCATGGTTGGTGTTATTGCTCATGAACTAGTGTTTGAATTGCATGGTTATATATTGATTTATCTCTTTTACGCAGGTAGCTTTCCGACAGTACGATTGACTTGTTGCAGCCCATTTTCACCATAAGCTTGGATAGTATGATGTTTAGACTTTGATTTATTTTGTTTCAGACCTTCCTTTGAAGCTGAACATATCAGTTAAGACTGTAGAATGCATGGCATTAAGACTTTCAGTTGTTTGCAGCACTGGAGTGACTTATGTTCTGAATTTAAGATTATGTAGTTTCAGAATGTTTGTTATTAAGGTTGTTTATGACAACGACTATTGAATATATTGTGTTGATATTTATATCCTCGTAGGGTGCATTATAAACTGTCACCATGTATAGGTATCATGACAAAAGTATTTGTCAAAATACGTAGCTACGCTGAAGAACAAATGTCAATTGTGACAAAGGTAGTAATGACAAGCAAGCTATTATGATGACCTATTATGACAAATCATTTATCACAATAACAAATTTGTCAAAATAACATGGAACAGTTTAGCATTTATCTTGACAAAGGTAGAACTAATTATGACAAAGTAGTTTATCACAATAACTAATTTGTCAAAATAATATCAGGCAATTTTGTATTTATCGTGACAAAAATAGACCTACTTATGACAAACATTTTTATCACAATAACTAATTTGTCAAAATAACATGGGACAGATTAATATTTATCATGGCAAAAGTAGACCTTATTATGACAAAATCTTTACTTATTGCAACAAATAAAGTTGTCAGAATATAGGTCGTGTTTTGACACTAAATTGTCTGTCAAATCATCGACAACGAAGTTATGACAATTCAAATTTTTTTGTCACAATAGACTTGTTTCGACGAGGTAGTTTTGACGAACAGTGTGACAACATATTTCGTCACAATATATATAATATGACAACATTTGGACCTATTATGACAAAAGTGATATGTCACAATAGTCAAAAAAATTGTAGTGATAGGATTTTCTCTACAGAACCAATTGTAATTCCTTCTAGTTATGACGAGGCCAAGGGTGATCCGAGGTGGGAAGGAGCAATGGATGACAAAGTCGATTCACTTGAGGCTAATCATACATGGGATCTTGTGCCTTGCACCCGGAGTTTGTGGTTATTGGAAGTAGTTGGGTTTATACAATCTAGACACATTCAAATGGTTCACTTGAAAGGTTTAAAGCTAGTGTGGTCGCACAGGGCTGTCACTAGGAGTATGAGATTGACTATGAAGAGATGTTTGCTCCAGTGGTTAAAATGCAAACTATAAGGTGTCTCTTTGTCGTGGCAACTATGAGAGGCTAGCCTTTGATTCAGATGGATGTGAAGAATGTATTTCTTCAAGGGAATTTTAAAGAGTCCACATATATGGAACGTCCCCCAGGGTACAAGAAGGGAGATTCAGGTATGTTTTGCAAGCTTAATAGATCACTATATGGACTCAAACAGGCACCTCAGGCATGGTTTGAGAAATTCCATGGTATTACAGCTCAGGGGAGTTTAGTACAAAGTCAGAATGATCCTTCGTGGTTTATACGAAGTACACTAGATGGTTTGTTGATTTTGCTAATTTATGTGGATGACATGGTTGTTATGGGGAGTGATACACAGGGAATCCAGAAGTTGAAGGCATCACTTCATCGCTCTTTTAATCTAAAAGAGTTGGGTGATGCTGAATATCTTCTTGGATTACAGGTTCAATGTTCACCAAAACACTTGTTTGTTTCACAAAGGAAGTATTTATCCGAGTTGTTAGAGGCAGCACAACATAGTTTGTGCACTCCCAGTTCAACATCTATGGAACAAAACTTGCAGCTGCATCGAGAGAGTAGTGATCTATTAGGAGATCAGTCTGCATATCACAGCTTAGTTGGCAGTTTGATTCATCTAACACTTACTCGTCCTGATATATCTTATGCAGTTTAAGTGGTGAGCCAATGCATGCGAATGGCATGAACTATGCACATGGATGTAGTTTATTGGCTGTAGCGATATTTGAGGCTAAAGGAGAGCCATTAGGCGAAGCCTTTGCTGATGCTTATTACACAGGATGTAAAGATACCAGGAGTTCGACTTCTAGCCGGTTCATACGGGTAGGACAGTCCTTTGTAGGTATCCTAAACAAAATCGTGTTTCAAAGTCGTCCACGGAGGCAGAATATTGGTCTATGTCTAAGGTGAGGTTAGAAATGGAGTGGTTACATCGGTTTCTTGGTGAGATTGCATTGGTATGGTATGTCGTCGTCCTATGAGGATCTATGGCGATAACATGAGTGTTATTCATATCGCTATTAATCCTATGCTGCATAATAGGGCGAAACATATTGAGGTACATGTGCATTACATTAGGCAGTTGTTTGCAGAGGGTTTGATATAGGTTGGGTACTTGTCTATAGAGGATCAGACAACCGATTTCCTGACTAAGACGTTAGCTTCGAGTAGGCATTGGCTTCTCTCATCCAAATTGATGTTAAGTACATGTAGTCGTACATTACAGTCATCTGGGTGGAAATCTGGCCCATGTAGTCGTACATGCCATCCATGCGCTTCCCAAGAGGTCGATCATTTGCTATAAAAGGTCAATCGCGTCGTTGAACCTCACAAATCTGAAACGTCATATTAGGTCGACCTAATCCTATATAAGGTCGACCTAAAAGTGCAGATTAGGTCGACCTAATCCTATATAAGATCGACCTAAAGTGCAAGTTACGATAACATGCATGTCACCATAGACATACCCTAAAAAAAAACCAAATATGAAGTCACACCGTGAGGCGAATATATTATTTCTTTTGGCCATTCTTTTCTAGTGACGAAAATGTATCTTGTGGTAGTAGTAATATTTGCATATTTTTTTATCACCAATGTTTGCATTATTTTGAGTGGACTGGACCAAATTGAAGTTGAACCCATCATTAATATGCGATATATGGAGGGGACGACGATTAGTATTGTGACTTTTCTAGTTGGTTGCAGTTGTTGCACTAACTAAAAGCTTTGGTTTGGTTTGGTTTCGGGATGTGTGGTACCAAACCTACTAATTAATCGACTTTAATATATATAAGGTTCCAATCTATATATGTAGCATATAGGCTCTAGCAAGTTGGGAGGCGATTAATTTTAAATATTACATATATTTATATATGATGCCGACTTGCATGTATATATTAATCACAAGAAGAAAAGGTCAGATTGTCAACTAATGCAATCATTTTATATAATCCTAGCTCATCGAAACCAAAGAGGATTAAGGAGAGCTACGCAAAAAATGCAATCACCAAACCCCCTCTCCATTATTAAATTAGGAAGACACGTGCAATCGTTTCAAGTTGTTGTGTGTTACAAAAAGCTTGATTACTCATTAACTTATCCATAAAAAAATTAATCACTAAGTTGTAGAAAGTCTCCGCTAGCTTGCAAGCAAGCTGGCATCAATATATATTTGACATATTCTGAATATTAAGAATTTAACCCGCAAAAGTTTTAGATAAAAAGTATTTTGTACTATAATATCATTACAATACTCGAAATGTTAAAAAAGTGTTAATTTAGTATGAATTATACGTTATGAGAATATTATTCTACACTGCATATACAGATGTCCGGCATTGCGAAAATCTAACAATCGTGGTAAATGGTAATGTTAGGTTTTTTTTTACAAAAGATAATCATATATTGATAACAGCAATCGATAGTTACACCCTGGAACCAAGCCAGGTCCGAAAATCAAAATGCCGACTCATAGCCGGGTACAAAGAAAGGGCCTTTCTAGCCACCAAATGGGCTACCCTATTGTTACGCCGACCTACAAATCGAATGGTCAAACCAGGATGGGCCTGAAAATAATATCCTATCTCTTCAAGCACTGCCCCCACCCGGTTGTCTCTAATATCTGCCTTGTTGATCCTATCGATGAGCCCTTTAGCATCCCCCTCCAATCTGACCTCCGAGAAACCCAGCTCCAGACACCAAACGAGAGCCTCCCTGAGTACAAGCAATTCCAAAACCATGGGGTCATCAATTGACTGAAGAAAAAAAGATGGTAATGTTACGTTGTATTTGTTAAAAGAAAAAAAAAACCATATATACTAACAAAGTTAAAATATTGAGCCAACCTTTAGAAATTCCATTTTTACAATAACGAGCCAGCCTTTTTCATTGTGAAAGAAATGGTAGGTTCACCCATGTCTGCCAAAAAAAAAATTGTGTGTGATAATTAAATAACTTGATGAATGATATTGGATGAATGCTATTCTACACTACTACATCCTTAATTTGCTGTCTCCAACTAATCATTTCTTCCTCTTGTATCTCCAAAATCTGTCCCATGTTTTCATGCAACAAATAAGGCGCCTTCTTTTTTTCTCTTTTATTCGTGTTGGTTGTTTCTTTCCTTTCTTTTTAATGTGGCGTTTGCTTCCACAAGAATGACTTGGGGAATAAATAAACCTCCATCGCCGATTCCTCCTTCGCCATTATTTAACTTCACTTCCAAAAAAAAAAAAAAAAACTTCACGTATAAAGAAGTAGCAATAGCTAGTGGTGCAAATTAAATGGATCATAAGGACGGCCAGAGTGGCAAGCAAATGGCTGCTGCAAGGTAAGCTGGAAGCATACAATACAAACAAGAGCCCAGTCACCTTCTAGAGAGAGAGAGTAGTGGCCGGTTAACTCCCCTGAAAGTCTGTTTTATTTATATTGCTCTCTCTCTCTCTCTCTCTCTCTCTCTCTCTCTCTCTCTCTCTCTCTCTCTCTCTCTCTGTCACAAATCTTTGCTTTGAATGGAATGGACAGTTAAAGTTAAGTTTAATTCATGGGATGGGATGGTCTAGTTTCTGGATGGTAACCAACCTCTTTGGCTAGAGAGTTCATTTGATTGATTCGTTAAAAGTATAAACAAATAGCGTAGTGTGTTGATTGGTCATGGTGAGGTCAGATTTTCATACCCTAAAGCTGGCCTGGGAAACTACCTAGCTATGGTCATGACTTTTCGTGGTATCTCGAGTATGAAACGTGATTACAAATTCTTATGTGACTTGATAAGATTCGTCATGACTTTTATAGTGTATTGAAATTCAAAATGCTTTTTTTTTTAAAAACATTGACATCATAACGGTAGTTAAGTGATTGCAGCGAAATCGTATTTGAATGTTAAAAAGACAAGAGAACTTTGAACAATAAACATGGTTGGATTAATGAGAACACTGAACACACGATTATCCTAATTCGAATTTTTTTAGAGTCAACATCATTCAAAAATAAAAGATCCTAACATAATACCTCTTTAATGAATAGATTTCTGACACGATACGTATATAAACTTTGCTATCGGTCCAAACAAGTTAAGTTATTGAAGTAAGCCTGTAGCTAATAAAGCAAAATTAGCCTAGTGCACTGAACATATAGATGAACATCATGCATGTGGATTGGAATTTGGAACTATAGCCTAACACACCAAAAGTAAGCAAAGTTGCCAACAAAACCCCAAAACAAAGTGGTCAATACACTAGATTCACCTAATAATAATAGAACCCTGCCTATTGTATTCGAATTACGAAATTTTGATGAAAAATCTACGTTCGTCAGTACAAAAATTTGAAATTCAAATCTCTGACACACCTCTGAAATCTATAACTGCAAGTTGTGAAGTAATTTTTTTTTATACTATGAAGTTAGTGAAGAATGATTTTCGAAATCATATTAGTGACCAACTTATCAATGAATGTTTGGTTGTATGTACTAAAAGAGATTCGAGTTGCAAAATTAATAATATTTTTCACAAATCTTTCAGAATTTTATTAATTCATTGCATATCATTATGAAAAAAATAAAATTGTGTACTCTTTTCAAAAAAATTATTATTTATCTACTTTACTTTAACATTATCGATTGACACACCTATCCAAAAATCATGGGACCGCCACTAATCGGAACTAACATGCCCCGGCCCTCTAACAATGTTTCCAGTCTCCTATGAATTTGTTAGAGCCAACGTTTATCATCATTGTACATGCATAGAAGATAGGACCCTTTCAGAAACTCACAACTACCTCAAACGGTATAGAAAACCTTCCACCCAACTTTTAAAACGTTACTTTGAAACAGTAAATACGAATGTGCAGGATCGGATTGAACGAGCGAGTCGGGTTATGGTTCTTCTTGATCACCCCCTTTGAGAAAACGGATGGAAAACCGCCACCTCTGATAAGAGAGAAAACTTGTGTCGAGGCAACATATAGATCTGATCTAGTGATCATGATCTATGTAGTACGAGGAAGAACAAACACATGTGGGTGGCAGCTGGTATTCTCTTTGTCTGGAAACTGAACACAAGAACAAAATCAGCATATGCATTCATATCTCCAATAAGCCTATTCAGGTTGTATTATCATCAAGAGCTAGCTGCTTGTTTCGCCTTTTGGCTAACAAATCCCCTGTCTCCCCATTCCTCTTGTCATCTCCTTATCTATTGCCCCCACCACACCCACTCATCACTAATCAAAGCAGCTGGCTTGGATCCAAGTTCTTTTTAACTAATATAATAATTTTAGATTAATTATTTTCCTTCAATAATTAATATGAAGGAGCAGGGGCGGATACATGGGCCTCTAGGGGTGTCCCGGGACACCCTTAAAATTTGGGGAAACGATTATCCAACCTCCGGTAGTAGTTTCGTATGGGTATACAAAACATAATTGGTAATCCGGGACACCCTAACATTTGAAAAAATAATTATCCTACCCTCCATAATAGTTTGCTTATGATTAACAAAATATAAGTGGTAGTCCGTGTTATTCCAACCTAGGACACTACTATTATCAAACATATTCTAATTATGTTGCTACTCATTTGTTATTCTATTTTAAACATCATGCAACTGTAAAACGCTATTTCTTTATCCCAACTATTTTCAATACCTAATAATTAAACTACGTACATGCTACCCTTAATTTTGAATTGATTTTATGGTTACACGACAAGTATTGAAAGAGTCTTTTCTACTTTGAGCTACATTAAGAACAAGGTTAGAAATCGAATATGTGATAAGTTCGTGAAGTATTGTCTAGTAGGATATGTAGATTTTTTTTGAACAGTGCAGACACGGAGTTTATTTATATTATTTTTTCAAAATATGAATTTTAATTTATTATTTAATATAAAATTTATACAAATTATACAAGTATGATATTTTTAATATACGAATTATTTAATTTATTATATAATTTAATTTAATTTTTGAATAGGACACCCTTGTGAAAATTTTCTGAATCCGCCAGTGAAGGAGGCTATCGTATGATGAATCGATGAATCTTGGCATCGTGAGAGAAAAACGACCCATCTTGATTTTCTTATTCTTTTTTGAAGTAAGACCCATTTTTTTTTAATTACCGAGTAACCTCAGCCGCACGTGTCACTTTGTTACAATGAGGCCTACTAAATTTGGGGGCCATTTGCATTTAATTCGACGCCAACAGGACTTCGGCCGCAACAGCCTTGTACCTACGAGAACACTAACTAGCTAACAATCCTTCACTGTCGCTGGAGTTTTACCGTTAGACTATCTTACCGTTAGACTATCTTACCTTTGTAAACCATATATATATGCTAGTTAACAACTTACATATCATTATTGTACAAATAATAACAACTAGCTAGGCCGGGTTTCGTACGATAGGGGGTGTTGATGGTTTCAATTCAATATGTACGTTTCTGCTCAAGAAACCTTCCAGTAGAAACACATTATTATTATTATTATTATTATTATTATTATTATTATTATTATTATTATATTATTATTATTATTATTATTATTATAATAGGAGGAGGTCCAAATAATTGCAAAAAGAATGATGCTGCTAATCATCCATTGGTGAGAGGCATCTGCTGGTTGCTTAGCCTTAGATTCAGGGACGTGATTCTTGCCATCCCGCGCGCTGCCTTGTTTTATTTTATTGCTTTTTTTTTGGTAGAGGATGATTTATGCAATTTAATTAATTAATTGCTGTTCGTCCAATAATATGGACTTAGTTAGGTTTATATAATCCATCCACTGGGTTTCATATAGATATAAATTATAATTATAATTGTTCAATTAATGGGATCTTGCATAGCAGCTTTTCCAGTTCAGCCCAACTCCAATATGTGTTGTCAATTGTCATTATGTATGTCAGTTTAATTTGTCAGGATAATTACGTTAACTGCAAGCGGAAATGGGGACGTAAAACTATTTCTCAATTCTCTAATCCGATCCTTGATTAATTAGCGGTAATTACACAAAATTTTTTTTTTTTTTTTTTACTTAAAATGCCTCCTAGGCTATTTTGGACAATTGGCCCGATTTAAACAATTTGACCTATGTATACCAGATTGTTTGGGCGGGCCGTACTTTTGATGTATAGTAGTTAGCTGCAAGGTGACAATCCAGTATTTGGTCACCATCTGTTCAGCTTCATTGATATACCATCAAATCGCAAAGTGGATGTTGTCCATCTCATATCATGGATATCATCCAACTCCTAAGTAGATAGTTGCTGCGACATGGTCATATGTATCTAGAGGCTTTCATTGACTACAAATGAGTGAAAGTGACTAGTTTAGATACTACAAAACTACTTTTCGAGAAGAAGAGTGAGAGAGCAGTTGAACGACTCTTTTCCAACAAAAGTTGAAGCAAGCTTTCGGAGGAAGGGGACGATCACAATCCAACACACATGAAATTTGTCTCAAGTGTCCTTTTTTTACTTTTTCTTTGTAATGTGTGGAGCTCCCCTCCATGAAGGATCCTCCATAGCTATGGTGTTAGTTGCAGTCACAGAGCTCTCAAGAAATCTCTATAGGAGTAGGATCATAGTAATGTTGGTTCTTTTGTATGCACCAAACACCCTCGTTCGAACAATGTTTGAAGACGTGTACCATAGTAACATTTATCACCTTAATAAATGTTAGAGAGCACCCATACACTTGTTATTCCAGTGTTAACAATTTGGAACCCCTAGTGGGACATGTGTGTTTGGTATGACTTCATTACAGAGACAACAAGAGTATCATCTTCCACAAGGTTTTGTGTATGAGGAGAAGTTGGTTAATGTTGGAATTGACCAAGAATGAATTTCTACCTCATTTTATGGACAAAGAATCATGTAAGTTTGTCATGAAAAGAAAGAAGTCGAGACTACGAGCAGTGGCGAACCCAGAATTTTGGGATAGGTGTGTCGATTCATTAAAAAAGGTTTAAGATAAAAAATAATTGCTTAAAATAAATGAAATAAATAATTGATTAAAAATTAATACAAAATTTCACTCATAAATTTCACCAAATTCATTGTTTTTTAAAGTGAACCAGGATAAATTTTCATATTTCGAAAGATTTTTAAATTACATTTGTCCATTAGCTAGGTTGCAAATCAAACCTTTTTATGTAAATAACTAAACAATTATTCATAAATTGGTCATTCAACACTCAAGTGATACCAAATATCATTATTTATTAAGCTGATATATGAAAAATATCATTTTGTAGCTTGCGGTTGCAAGGGGTAAAGTAAACACTAATTCAATATGAGAAAGCTGGAAGGGTTACCATAAGTATCAAAATGAAAGTTTGAATGAGAATGAGGATATCACCGACGCCAACAATTGGAGGGTGGTGACTGACGTCAACATGAAAAGCAACAACTAAACTAAAAAGTAAATTGGAAATTAACTTAAAGAAAAATATATGAAAGAAGCTACGAGGAAAAACGAGATGGAATTCACTATCTAATTACTAGAATCAACCAGCTTATTAATCAATATAATTCTCATTTAAATTACCAAGGTTATCTCTAAGGTGATAGTTATCTGTCTGAAAACTCACTACGTACTAAGTAGCCAATTAATTGCTTACTCTTGTACTACCAACTAATTAACTACCTAGTCTGAAGTCATATAACTCCTGTATTTATATATTTTAATAACATTATGACAACAACAAAATTTAATGTAATAAGGTGTATGTTGGTTAAATTATCGAAGGTGTGTGGAGGTCTCGGGTTTGAGTTTTTTATACCGAAAAAATATAGGTTCCTGACAAAAATTTCGGACGAAGGTGTGTCAGGTGACAAACCTCCATTAGAGGTGGGTTCACCCTTGATTACGAGCTTCTGGGATCAAACGACAACTAATTCGGAGTCTGGATGAGGGATAAACGAGGCATCAAAGATAGAGGGAATAGGAAAAATGAGTTCCACTACTTGGAGAGCCAAATCCCGGTTTGGCATATCTATTCCACGACCGAGGAATAGAAGGGGTGATCATGGAACATGCCAACAACGGGTATAAAGGTCCTTTTTTTGCAATTTTGGAAGCGGAGAGCTGGGTTTGGTTCCCAACACCCAAGGGGCAAACCATAGAGAGAGAGAGAGAGGACGATTAGAGGGCGATTTTGAAGCATTGAAAGCTCGAGGAATAAGCTCGGACTTGAAGGTTGATCATCTGAAGATTCTTACTGGAGACTCTCTCTTCTCTATGGAGTAACTTCCCTTCACTTAGGTTTTGAGGAACCCTAACTATCTTTGTTTCATTGGATGATTGTATGAGTACTTCTACTTGATAATCTTGAGTTCATATTCAATCTATGGATGTTTTCATGATTCAATTATGCTTTAGTCGAGATTATTGATTCTGCTTTTATCCTATGAGAGAGAATACCTGATTAGATCAATAGAGCATCATAGATTGATAGTATTGGATCGATTGCTTTAGTCGAGAGCGATTCAGTGCTTTGTATTGATTAAGAACCTCATTCGATAGAGGGAATCTAGTTCAGAACGCCTTGATCAGTTGTTCTTGAGAAGGATACGTCCCTCTAGGAAATTAACTCAAGAGGGCCTCGACTTCTTTAGTCGAGATTCAAGGTCTAATCAAGGACGCTCAGCATTGTGAATGAAAGTTTAACAAGTTAGATATCATCAATCATTAATCTGGCTAGCTGGTTAGGGGGAATCATACCTAAGTGAGTTTTTAACCTTTAATTAGATTAACTTGAACTGTAGTTTGCTAGAGTAGTTATAGTTCTTCTATCTTATTCTGGTTTGCTAGATAATGAACCGAAGCTGAGTAATAGTAACTCTAGAGACTCGTGGATTCGATATTTAGTACTTGTGTCACTATATTGCAACCCCTTTCATTGGTTACACTTGGTCATTGTTAGAAGTTGTATTTTAGCCAGTCACCCGCCAAAATATTTCGTCTTTCGTGGAAATAATGAACCGAAATTATCTCTGGAATATTTCTTTTAGTAACTATATATCCTTCATTACTTTTCCATTTTTGTATAAGAAAGAAATCAGATAATATGGAGGTCATTTATGTCCCCATCTCTCGTAAAAGTGGCTCACCGGAAAGGAATAACAAAAATTATCGAAGGTGTGTGGAGGTCTCGGGTTTGAGTTTTTTATACCGAAAAAATATAGGTTCCTGACAAAAATTTCGGACGAAGGTGTGTCAGGTGACAAACCTCCATTAGAGGTGGGTTCACCCCTGATTACGAGCTTCTGGGATCAAACGACAACTAATTCGGAGTCTGGATGAGGGATAAACGAGGCATCAAAGATAGGGGAAATAGGAAAAATGAGTTCCACTAGTTGGAGCGCTAAATCCCGGTTTGGCATATCTATTCCACGACCGAGGAATAGAAGGGGTGATCGTGGAACATGCCAACAACGGGTATAAAGGTCCGTTTTTTTGCAATTTTGGAAGCGGAGAGCTGGGTTTGGTTCCCAAACACCCAAGGGGCAAACCATAGAGAGAGAGGACGATTAGAGGACGATTTTGAAGCATTGAAAGCTCGAGGAATAAGCCCAGACTTGAAGGATGATCATCTGAAGATTCTTACTGGAGTCTCTCTCTTCTCTATGGAGTAACTTCCCTTCACTTAGGTTTTGAGGAACCCTAACTATCTTTGTTTCATTGGATGATTGTATGAGTACTTCTACTTGATAATCTTGAGTTCATATTCAATCTATCGATGTTTTCATGATTCAATTATGCTTTAGTAAAGATTATTGATTCTGCTTTTATCCTATGAGAGAGAATACCTGATTAGATCAATAGAGCATCATAGATTGATAGTATTGGATCGATTGCTTTAGTCGAGAGTCGATTCAGTGTTTTGTATTGATTAAGATCCTCATTCGATAGAGGGAATCTAGTTCAGAACGCCTTGATCAGTTGTTCTTGAGAAGGATACGTCCCTCTAGGAAATTAACTCAAGAGGGCCTCGACTTCTTTAGTCGAGATTCAAGGTCTAATCAAGGACGCTCAGCATTGTGAATGAAAGTTTAACAAGTTAGATATCATCAATCATTAATCTGGCTAGCTGGTTAGGGCGAATCATACCTAAGTGAGTTTCTAACCTATAATTAGATTAACTTGAACTGTAGTTTGCTAGAGTAGTTATAGTTCTTCTATCTTAATTCGGTTTGCTAGATAATGAACCGAAGCTGAGTAATAGTAACTCTAGAGACTCGTGGATTCGAAATTTAGTACTTGTATCACTATATTGCAACCCATTTCATTGGTTACACTTGGTCATTGTTAGAAGTTGTATTTTGGCGAGTCACCCACCAAAATATTTCGTCTTTCGTGGAGATAATGAACCCAAATTATCTCCGGAATATTTCTTTTAGTAACTATATATCCTTCATTACTTTTCCATTTTTGTATAAGAAAGATATCAGATGATATGGAGGTCATTTATGTCCCCATCTCTCGTAAAAGTATACTTATATATATATTGCAAACCTAACTCATCAATATTACTATTCTACAATCCTCCGAATTTCAAAATTGATTAAGAAAACTTCTTATTTAATTTCTACTTTGCCTAGTGATCATCTAGAGCCAATATATATATTCGATCGATCGACTAATTTTCAATATGTATACCATATGGGCTGTGCTCTATAAGGTTACAGTGCTCCATATTGAGCACGTTTAATTTCAGAATTCTCACAAGAACTCCTACATTTCAGATTTCGCCACAAAGTGCGTCTTGTCATTTAATATTGGTTTCTTACCTATAAACCATAGTTCTCTCCCGTGATTTGCCGGTATGGAATTGAGAATATATAGTTAGCTTTCATTTCATGGTTGTTATGATATTAACCTCTTCCCCCCACGTGGGTAAATGGTCCGAGACTGGAATTGGTCACCAAAGAATCAAAGTAGCCTGGAATCAGAGCACTGTACGTACTCCATTTTTTTCCTACCCAAATGAAAGGTACTGTGTACCAATTTCGTCAAACAATACAGCGCATGAAGACCTAAAAGTACCATAAGATAAATTACCATTCTATAAATAAAAACAAAATACCGCAAAAAAGTACATCAGAAATCCATTAAGATAACTACACATATATATATATTTCATATGAATGTTTTACAATGGTATATATAATACAGCTCTCTCTCTCTCTTTTTTCTGGTATGTATAGCTGTTAATAAAATTTGCAGATTTTTACATCTGCAGCACGAGGTTAGAGCTCTTAACAACACTAGCGATGAGGTAATTAACAACAACACCACAATCTGTACAGAGAAATTAAAAAAGAAAAACCCCCCACCAATGTCTACCTAATCAAATGTTGTAAATAGAAAGAAAGAAAAGAAAAAAGAAAAAAAAAGAGGGAGAATTAATCACTGTCCCTTTTCCCCCAATCTCTTAAATCCTAATTATAATTACCCTTGATGACGAATTATTAATCAAACAATGAGGATGGATCAGTAATTATCCCAGAAGCAGTCCAATCCAGCCATACCGGACGACGTCGGATCCTCCAACCCATCGTACCCCTTCCCTCCGACGCTCGACGATATCTCCGGCGCCGCGCCGCTCATGTTGTCCGTGCTCAGCCCCGTCTCCTGCGAAAGGCTCACCATCGACTGCTCCGCCTTGCACTGCCCGCCGCCGTGCAAATAACCCGTCGTCGTCGCCGGGTTGGGGAAAGTATACTGACGGTAATTGTTGACGACGTTAAACGAATTGGGGAAGCCGCCGTAATTGGAATTGGAACTGCCTTCCCCCACCACTCCAGACGACGACGTCGGTTTAGCGAACTCGCTGTTGCCGTACGGGAGATCCATCAAGGGCGGCAGCGACAAGGAAGCGTCCAACAAGAAATCGTCGCCGTTGCCGAAGGAATTCGCCCTCGCCAGGAAATCTTCCATCGGGGAAGCTCTCTTCATCAACACTCCTCCTCCGCCACCACCGCCCACCGCCGCCGCCGCCGCCGGATTCTTGTGGAACACTCTACATACAACCCATTCGTCCTGCGCCCCAAAAAAAAAAATTCAGCTCGAATTAATCGCCGATTTCGCGTCCGCTGAATAGCACAATTATATAGTCCCGAAAAACACGGTAAAAAAAAGTCGTCATGAAAGGAATGGGTTACCAACAAAAATGAAAATGAAATTGGGATTTTACCTTTGAAGCTTTGGGGAAGGAGTAGTAAGAGAACTTGCCGTCGAGGCGGTATTCGTGCATGACCCAATTGGTTTTCTCTCCCTTGGGAGCTCTGCCGCGATAGAACACCAGCGTCTTCTTCATCCCGATGAGGCAACCTCTTCCCCGGAAAATCTCCTTGTCTTTTCCGGTGGCCTTCCAGTAGCCAGCCTCCGTCGCGCGGTTCGTCCTCATCCCCGTAGGGTACTTCTTGTCCCTCTGGCAGAAGAAGTACCACTCTTTCTCCCCCATCTTCGCTTTGCCTAAACAGCCAGCCAGTGGAGAGAAAGAAAGATAAAAATTGAGAATAGTTCTTTCGTAGAGAGGAAGAAGATGAAGGAGAAGGAGAGTTGACTTACTGGGGAGGTCCCAGGGCTCGGACTTGTTGAGATCGGCTTCTCCGACAGCGACGGCGCTGAAGGTGTCGTCCTTGACCTTGGGGGTGAGGTAATGAGTGACGATTTCCTCGTCGGTGGGGTGGAAACGGAACCCCGGCGGCAAATCCAGCATTTCCTCGCCGCCTCTGACGTTGTTCAGCACGGTCGGCTCTTCCATGTATTCAAATTCAAATTCAAACTAGCTAGAGATGAATGATAAGAACCTTTTTTTCAAGCTCGCGGAAAAGGAGGAAGGGGAAAGGAGGAAGGGGAATTGTTGAAGAAAGAAACAGTTAAGAAAGTTGAAGGAAAGGCTGAAAGAGAGCTTAAATAGAGGAGCTTGTTGAAGAAATTTAATTAGAAAAGGAGAAATGTTGTTTTGTTTTTTTGTTTGAGAGGGGAAGAGATCCGTGGAGAGCAAGTAAGTTGAGGTGTGAAGTCCTGGAGAAGCCACTGAGAGAGAGACACATAGCTAGGCAAAAGAGAAGCTGTGTGTGATTGATTCATTTGATTGGAGATTTTAGTTTTTACGATTTTCCTTTTCATTTTTTTTTCTTCTTCTTCTTTTAATTCATTAAATCCATTTGCGCATCAAGTTAAGTTTTAATTAGGAGAGGTAATAATAGCCTGTCTCCATACTTATGGAAATCCTTTCTGTGATCAAATCATGTAAAAAAAAAGCCCTGATTAGTGTTTTTTTGTTTTGTTCAAATGATGTAATTTATAATAATTCTCCCAGTTAATTATTATGAGAAAATGTTTTTAGCCAAGATTCATAATATTGTACGTGCAACAAGTAGAATATTATAACACGGCAACAGATCACCATACATATATGAATGTGATCACCATTTTTTTTTTTTTTCCTGAGCTGGGTATCTACCAATTTGAAAACAAGAGAGTGTGAGTACAATTTTCTTTTGAAAAACCAGATGTGAAAATGAGAGGAATGGTAAAAAAAAGAGTTCAACGAGCTAGAAAAGTGGTAGGCCTTTTTAATGACGTATGTATTCTTCTTTTCCTTCTCTTTTCTTGTTTTGGGTGCAATCGTATACGCTGCTGAATGGTGGAGGCATATACAATTTCTAACGGACGCGTTTCACGTTTGAAAAGAATCATTCTCTTCGATTGTTTAATAGATGGCCATATTTAGTATATAGCCCGTATAGCGAGGGCTGCGAGCTAGCTCGACTCGGTGGCTTGTTCAGCTAAACTCGTGAGCTGTCTCGTTTAGAGTTCATGATATGTCTCAACATGTGACTAGAGAGCCAACATGATTACAGACTTATGGACGAATCAATCTATATCTTATGATTTTAATTCATATGGTTGTTAAATTATATATCTCGCCGTATATAAAGTTTAACACACGTTGAGTATGTGAGCAAATATATCTTATTTTCTATTTTAAAAGAAATCATGTATCATAGATTGCTTCGATACTGTGAATTAATATGATTTGGAGTAGTTAAAAATTATTAACTAAATGATATATGATACCAACAGAGCATAATATGAGATTAGCTAACAAAATAAATCATATTATCATGATATACAAAATGAAATATCAAATAAAAGTCAATATTTTAACAAACAAGCTAACTCGAACTCGACTGGATTCGGCTCGTTAATAAACGAACCGAGCTCAAACTAGTATAAAATTCGACTCAGCTCGGCTCGGCTCGGGTCGGCTCATTTACTGCCTATGTATAGGTGATAGAGGGAGCCAGGAGGGAGAAGCAAAAAGAAAAAAAAAGGTCCCTTTTATTATCTGCTAAAAAGACCTAACCTTTTTCAGAATTCTGATTCCATGTGGGCTCTGTCTGCCTCTTTTATCCTTTTTACAACCTTCGTAGCAACTTATAAAAGGAAAAGAAAAAAAAAATGAGTGCTAGAATCGACAGCTACAAACTAACAGTAGTACATAGAGATAAATGTTTTTTTTTCATACTTTACGAATATTACATCTACGTTCGATTTACTAAGTTAAATTTGAAACACGAAAGTTGTGATCATAATATGCAGTTTCATAAGTTTTGTGATGGAATTGATTCATTATGGATCATTTCATAGAGGATTGTGATAAGAACTGGTTTGTTTGTTGGATTTGAAAAATTAAGAATTTTTTTTTTGTAAACATGAAGATTTTGGTCATAACCTAAGATATGAAAAACTTGAGTTTTGTGATAGAATTGGTCCGTAATGGATTTAAAAGACAAAACTGTTGTTTGCTTGTTGGATTTGATGATAGATTTGGTCGAACTAAATTGTGGGTATATAACATTATACGCTATTCATGAATTTGGTCCAAATCTCACATATAGAGCAGGTTTTTGGCTTTTTGCAAATCCGTGGAGCCTACAGATTTGAACTTTGAGAATTTACAGTATCGAAAATTACCAAGCAAACATAGATTTTGTACCAAATCCACTAGGATCATGAATCGAGACCCAAATTCATGCTTGAAATCTATAAAGCAAAAGACCCACTAAATGTTCTTGTCAAGCTTTTTATAGAGCGAAAAAAAATTCGAGTTTAATTTTATTTGGATGATGTATTTTCTCTCTTAAATGAAGTATTAGACCAATTTATTTTGGTGTGACAGGTAGAGAATTCTTTTTTTTTTTTTTTGCTTCTTCTTCTTTTCTATGTGTTTATATCATCAATATAAACAAGCATCCTTAGTTGGCAAGAAAAAAAAAAGTCCGAAGAACTGAAGAAGAGTAGTTTGAACCATTCATTGGTTCTAAAAAAAAATACTTGGAATAGTTTCTTTCTCTTTCCCGCAAAAAGCGGCTGAAAGGTTAGCTTTGGCATTCAAGTTAGGATTCAGGCCTAGGAGAGGAGTGGATGAATCCACCTGTCAATTTTTCTTTCTTTCTTTCCTAAAAGATACCTACCTCTCACATATTCTAAATTATCCCAATGCCATGGATTTGACTCGGCTCGATTCGGCTCGGCTCGACTCGACTTGAATGGCGATCTTCATTTCTTCTTGACTCAGTCAGCTTATGGCTATATCAAGCTGGATTAGAGTGGTTAATTATTGGGTTTTCAAGGATTAGGATAAACGTTTGATATTCTTTTCTCGTTTGCTTTGCTCTATGGGGGTCATAGTTTATTGTGTGTTGTGTGGAAGGGAATGTGTTGCTTGTAATGGAAACAGGGAGCTGCTGAGGTGGTGATTGCGTATAGTTTCCCACTAAATATGCAAAAGCTAATAACACTAGTTAGGGGTGAGGGGTCCAAATGACAGGAATCTGTACAGAGACAAGGTCTTGATTGAGGTTATGATGATAAGAAAGTCAAGAAAGGTTACAAGCTAGAGAAATTTCAAAGAAGTTTCTTCTCAATTATGCTATGTGGGTAATATTTATCTTCTCCATTTTTTTTTATCTTAGATGAAAGAGTGTGTAAAGAAGCAGTATACATCCATACATGAGCCTCTCTCAATATATAACTTGAGTTACAAAAATTAGGGTTATTGAAACGCGTTGGTTTATTGATGGTATCGGAGCTGGTTTGACAATGGGTCTTGTATGCAAGTCCTCGTTATCAAGAACTAGTTGGTGTTGGGAGGAGTTCAATTATGAATCTTATATCATTTACTAATATGCTCCCTCAAATGAAAGCCACCATATATGCGCTTCAATTTTTCATAGGATATCGTAATGCTATGTGAATAACAAATGGGGTCACTGAAACTCGAGCCGAAGACCTTTCGCTCACAAAAAGCTTTGATATCATATAAAAAACCAGTTGGTTCCAACAGCTCGAGTTGCTGGGAAAGATTCAATTATGGTTCTTGTACCATACACTAACACTCACAACCCCAATATTAATAGCTGAATATTCAGGTACATGGTATATCATACTTGTACAAGTATCAAGCCTTGAGTTAGCTTTTATTTGAAGGGGACATAAATGAAAGAAAATTATGTTTTCTGAACAAAATGGTAAAATAATATCATATTTTCCAAAAGCTTTTCACATAAGCTCCAAATTGGTGTTCCTATTTTTATGTTTTTTTTAATCAGGATGACATAGGTTGATTTTTACAGTTAGGTGCAATCGAAGAAATTCAAACCTGAGGCCTCCATATTCAATTAAACTTAGATCAGACACTTCTTTGTGAGTTTTGTTTCTTATGTTATAAAACCACTTTTCATTATTTTCAAAAGGTATTGGTAACACCTTAGGCACGAATCTCATATTGACAATGTACAGAAGAGATCCATAGTTCATAAGTAAGAAACCGACCTTAACTAATAAGATGCGCTTTTGGGTAAAATGGAAGAGTTTTGTGGGAACTTCGGAGTTAAAAGTGCTCAGCTTGGAGCACTGCAAACAAGAATGACCTTATGAGAATTCACATTGACATACACCCCCAAAGCAAAAACCGTGAGGATATACCTAAAATGAATAATATCTTGTCTGTAAAAATTTTGGGATGTCACTGATCTCGCTTCAATTATCTAAAGAAAAAAATTTCTTAATGCTGGGCCTTCTATTTGGTTTACTTGGGTCATGCGATTAAATAGTTATTATGACAAAATCTGCACTATTAAAAGAGATTTTTTTTTAGATTATGCGAATTTATTTTGAATTCATCTTCTTTTATCTTTATTTCTTCTGTACATTAATTGATAATGTGCAACTGTGCATCATATTTTGCCATTCCGTGTGTTATACTATGTAGTAATTATCAAGATTCTGCAAATAATGTTTCAGGTTTTTTTTTTTTGGGTACATTTAGACTTTCACCTTTTATCTTTACGTGTAACCATAAATATGAATTAATATGCGAGATGATCGGTTTAGATACACCACTCATTTTTCTTATTATTCAATTTTCAAAGAGAGTCTTCATAGAAAATTATTGAATTCGAATCACGAAATTTTTCGATTCAGATTCATCATTTTAACCATGAAGTTTGTTATCTGAATGAAATACAAATTAGAAGCCTCTTCAAACATATATAGATAGGCATGAAACATGACTAATCATATGTGCGTTGAAGTCCTGTGTGTACTTGGAACAAATCAACCTAGAAGCCAATTATTTATCCGAATCAAATTACATAAATTTGGTATATATATGTATAATCTCGGAACACATTAATTAAAAGGTATTTAATCACTTCAAAGTCTTCGTCAATGAATTTACATAAGAAACTCAGCCAATAAGTCTATTTATTTTATTCTAGAGAAATTTTACATATAGCATGCTATATAGTATTGGTGCTATAGGATTTTGCCTTTGTGGTACAACTTAAAATTGTACATTTACGTTATGGTACAACTTTAGATTGTACCTATACTTTTTGTACAAATTCTTTTATGGTACAACTTGGACTTGTACCTTTATTTGATGGTACAACTTCAAGTTGTAAAGTTGTACCATAACATAATAGTACAAATTGCTTTATGGTACAACCTAAACTTATACATTTAATGTTATGGTACAACTTTAAGTTGTACATTAAAGCACCAATACTATATAGCATAGTAGAAGTGCTCTTTATTCTAATCTTCATTCTTAATTCCTATCTGAATATCTGATTCCCAGATAATTTTGTATTGAAGGCAGATTTCCAATGTAATTTAATTTCAAAGAAAATATGATTCCCATTGGCTGTCCCGATTAAGAAAAGACCTTATATACTTCTTGATGAGGATGAGGAATTTTGGCAAAGGGAAAGAAGATTTTTTTTTTCTTCTTTTTTATAATGGTGAGCAATTTATAAAGAAGAACAAATAACAAACGCGCAAACTGTACACAATTAAACAATCAGAAGGTTGTATATTCCATCTATTTGGTTTGTAGTTTGATGGTGTGAATCACCTTATGGTCTTTTCCATCCTGGCATGGTAGGCCGGGTAGGGATGGCAATTTCGAGTTGATCCGTTTTACTCGACATGTTTGACCTGTTTTGGGGCGGGTCCAACCCATTCCGTAGCGCGAGGCGGGGTAGGCATTGGTATTCTCATCGACCTGACTTGCCTTGAGCCACCCCATTTTTGACCCGTTCTTGACTAAATTACATATAATTTTAGTCAAATTACTTAGGATTTTCTTTTTATTACATAATATTTTGGCTGTTATAAAGTTGTAAATATGTTAAAATCTCAATTTCTCCAATAATTTAACTGTATTGTATCATATTATGATTTTTTTCTTGGTCTTATAGTGAAAATAACTAATATTTCTAATGCTTTCTATATAAATTACATACCCATTGGATCGACCTGCCCCGATCCGCGCCCCGTGATAAATTACCTGATCTGCCATGGGACGGATATGGGTATCGAGATACCCGCCCCGGACCTGACCCATTGCCATTCCTAGCCAGAGGGCTTAACAAAAGTGCTAATTTTCAGGGGGGAAATGTTTTAGCTCGTCATTTATAAAACAAAGTTTCCCAATAAACAGCTCGAATTAATTATCGAGAAATTTGCAGATAAAATCAAAATAAATGACCAAAACCACATTTTTTTTCCCCCCAAAACTTCGTATATCAAAGAATGTAAAGTTGAAATGAAAATCAATTTTATTCATATGATTCCTTCAATTCTGCTGAAAAATTGGTAACAAATTAATTTGCTAACATGGTGGTCGGTGGGACATTATTTCTTCTACTGCTTCGAATCGAGCTGATGCGAAGACGATGTTGGCA